GGGGGGGGGGGGGGGGGGGGGGGGGGGGGGTGGCTCACTGAGAGATTCAGGAAGGAACAGCGTGTTTAACAATCCAGCGGTTTTACACACCTCAGCATTACAACGATCAGGGGTACAAATGTGAGAGATGTCCAGAGGAGGGAGATCATGTGCTTTGAATGTGTCCCAGATTTGTGACAGGAAGGGTTTGTGAACCTGTAGGTGAGTGTGCGCACCTGTGTGTGTGTGTTCCTACTGTTAAGTGTGGTAAGAGAATGACCGGTGTTTATGGAGAAACGTTTTTTTTCTTTTTCTTTTCTTTTTAGGAGTGAGTGAGTGCGTCTTTACGTTTATAGCAACTAGCTGTCTGTGTGTGTGTGTCTGTGTGCGTGAGTGTGTTATGGGTTGTGTGTCCACAGTGTGACAGTGCGGTCGGCAGAGGATGAGAGGAAGGACAGGTCCTGGGTGTGCCACCGACACTGGATCACCTTGTCGCCGTGCTCTCCCACCACGGTCAGGGGCAGCTGTTTGGTCAGGTCACCTGGACGACAGAAAAACCGGCGCGGACATCCAAAGACACTTTAGTTTCAGACTCAAACTCAACCTTACACGAAAGACGGACTGACCATTTCAACCAAAACCCAAAATGGTAAACACGGACTACTCCTGACAAGCTCTCATTTACAACTGTCTTGATCGGAACAAATTACTTTTAATAAGTCCATTTTATCTGCGACACTCCGCGTTTGTGGACAGTTTGTGGCCCGACTGTGTTTGGGATGCTCGGTCAGACTCACCTTGAAGGTTGGTGACCATCACCTTGGTGTCGTAGGAGCCGGTGAGCAGGTAGTGCGCTCCGGGAGAGAACCGGACGGAGCGGACGTCGCTGCTGTGCGGCCGGTACATCTGGACGATCCGCCCCCCTCTGATGTCGTACAGCATGCAAGCGCTGTCCTCCTGTCCCGTTGCTAGGAGACGGCCGCTGGGGTCCACCGCTACCGAGGCAACAGGACTGCCTGTTTGGAAAAAGAAATAAAGAGGGTTGTGGCTTCACAAATCACGAATCATCACAGTTATTAAGCAGGCGTGGAAAGCCTGATGGAGGTGGACCTCCCCCGGTCCATACCTGAGCCGTGGAAAGCCGTGCCCACCACCCGCACACAGCTGGGCACCCGGAGGTCCCAGAAGCGGACGGTTTTGTCCTGAGAGCCCGAGGCGATCATCCAGCCCCCCCACGTGTAAAGAGACAGAATGTGACCTGGACAGAGAGGAGGCATCATCATCATCATCCACCCTTCAAAAGCCGGCCGATGAAACAGAGGAAGAACAGTAATATGGAAATGTGGACTTCTTAAAGCAGAGGCCTTAAGCTTCCTCTTTCTTAGAACAGACAAATAACCTGATGCTTTATACCCCAGACTTAATTAATAAGAAATAACCAAAGCGTCACACCCTGAAGCTTGTGTTTTTTCGTCATTGTTTATTTTAATATTTTGCTTCACATAGTTTGGCTTTTAATCATTTGCCATTACGCAAGTCTTTATGTCGATTGTGAAAAGTGTAAAAGTATTAAAAGTCAGTTAATTGAATGCAAATATATTCCTTTGCGCTGTGAATTTAGCATTTTATGGATTCAAAACATTTAAAGAAATGTATTTTAAAACATATATGGTTTTCTATACAAAAATTATAATTGTTATTGTAAATTGTTATTGATCATTTAATTGATCGTGTTTTCATGTTTAATTAATCTGATGGTATTATCTCAGTAACAATCAGCTGATTGTCATTACTGTAATTCAAGAGTCAAGAGTCTGTTTCAAAATTATATCCTGACTAAAAATGGTCGAACATGAAAAAAAAGAAGAAGAAAGGAGGCGTCAGTAACAGACTACGGCTCAGAGGGGGGGTGGTGGGGGGGGCTCTGCGGCGTACCTGTGTGTCCACTGAGGGCGTGCAGCCCCTGTCCGCGCTGGCAGTCGGTGGTGTAGATGTTGCAGTCCCCGGCTCCGGCGCTGATCAGGATGGCCCCCCCGCTTTCGGGACCCTCCATGAAGGCCAGGTCTCTGATGGTGCCGTCATGCATGCTGAACTCAAGGTCCGGGCCTGGAGCACACACACACACACAGACATGAGAGCCCGCCCCGCCCCTGAGTGCGGGGCTGCCGGCTGACCGCCCGCCCGGCCGGCTGACCGCCCGCCCGGCCGGCTCACCTGTGGCGTTGCACGTCTCGGCGCTGAAAGGTAAGACTTTGACGTATTTGTCATTGGAGCCCGTGGCCAGCAGCTGACCACAGTGACTCCAGGCCACGCAGTAGATGGAGCCCTTGTGGTGTTTGTTCCTCTTGAAGCGAACCACTGGCTGCTTTATGGGGCTGGATCCGCTGAACGGAGAAAAAAAAACGGGAGGAAACAGAACAGCCTTTTCAATGTTACTGAAAATATGGAAGACAACTTACAGTTATATAACACTGCTATATGAATTTTCCCATAGTGGGACAAAATATTATAACCTCAGAGGTCAATTTTAGGTTTGAGCCAGTTTCTAAAATCAACTTTAAATTGGAACTAAACTGTCTACAACGCAGATTCAAATTTTTAGATGCTGATTTCAATTTCAATTTTTCAATTTTTTCACATAAAAACATAAAACAAAAGACCTCAGCAAGGGAGCCGAGGTCGCCTTACCTGGTGTCCAGTTTTTCTGGATACGCACACACACGGAGAGTTTTGGAGTTGGAGCCCACAGCATACAGAGCTCCAGACGGGTGGAAGGCAACAGCCCTCACAGCCTGCGTGTCCTCCAAAGTGTGCACCGGCACAAACAGGCTTTTTGTATTCTCGCCCTGAAAACACACATCACTCCTATAATGTGGTCCGATCCTTTCTGACCAAATGATCATTACACAGCACTCTCTCATGGAGGGCGAGCTTTAAAAGTCCCATCCTGGTGGAAACATGCTTCTTTTTCTGCATCCCTTACCTCTTTACTCCGGGATAAAGATTCTGGAGAGTCACCGGGTTGACTTTTTGGTTTCTGCCCGCTGTCGAGAAATAGGAAGTGCGGTCACCATCTCGTTCGGCAAAACTGTATCAAAGCAGAAGAATTTCCCCCCACCTCTGCGAGACGACGGGGGACTCGTCTGGGGGGGGGACCGAGCGGCCTCCCACGCTGCGCTGGGGGGTGCTGCTGAGCACCCCTCCCCCCCGGGCCTGGCTGTGCTCCGGGGTCACGGCGGGAGGGTTGTTGTTGTCTTCGGAGGGGGGCGTGTTCCCGTTGCCGTTGCACTGCTGGGCCAGAGACTTCACCTCTTCCCCCAAATCCTCCATCCCCACGTTGAGCTCCTCCAGCTTCTGAATGGACCTGCGCAAAACGGTTGCAACAGGGTTTTATTTTGCTTTAAAAGGCTTTCGGGCTTCTGCCAGCAGGCCGCGTTTGGGCTGGCGAGGTAATTTACGTGTAGTTAAAAGTACAAAGGGGCAAGACAAAAGCGAGCTGAAGTAATGATGTCATTATGCTGGGCGACCCCGGGGAATATGTAGACAGCAGGGAAACAAGGAGATGCAGAGGGAGGACCGGGAGGAAATGTAAATCAAAGGTCTTTTGTCCTTTACTGACTGAGTTAGAAGATAGACTGTTCTCCTCACACATTTTCTTCTCTGTATTTTAGCTAAACTAAATTACGTGGTGCTTTGGAAGAATGCTGAGGATATAAAATACACGTTCAGCGATGCAGGTTTTGGGGTGTAACAGGGTTTAAAAAACGGTGCAAAATATAATTAAACATGAGGTGACCGTCCCATCGGAGCAGATGGTGCTGCGCTGGCCTGGGGGGGGGGTGTTACGTGAGCAAAAAAACCACATGGGACCCATCACTTTTGGGGGGTTTAACACGTCAGCTTTATGTGTTCTGACAGCTGCTCCTTCATTGTTTGACGATCCGGAGAGCCACGTAATAATCGGCAGGCTTATTTTAGGGATGGCTGTGCCCGGAGGGGGCCGACTTGGAGAGCACATTTTCTCTCAGTCTCATGCCTTTCCTCTGTGATGTGCAGATGAATACGCATAGGCGGTGTCCGTACCTGTTGAGGAACTTCTCTGTGAGGCTGTGCTGCATGTCGCTGGGCGGGGGCTCGTGCTGGACGCCCCCCTCCAGCAGCATCTGCTGGTACATTTGTCTCTGCTGCTGCTTCTGCTCCAGATGCTGCTGCACACGCAGACGCTGGCGATAATACTCCTCATACTTCTCCGTTGAGTCACGAAGCTGAGGGGTAAAGCGCAATACTTCATTTCGTTTGACGTGTTCCTGGGTAACACACAAATAGCTCTGTGGGAAAAGTTTTTTAAAGGCTCCAAATACATTTTCTGGGTTGTACTACAACTGGAATGATGGGCGATTGAACCATTTCAGACAAAAAAAACGTCCTTCCTGTAGAATTCCGATGGCCAAAGAGATACTAATACAAGGAAAATGTCACATTTATGACTGAATTCATTGATGTTACTTCTGCTTTCACTGCTTTGAAGTTACTGTCTATAATGTGATGGCTTAAAATAGTTTTGTAATCTTTAACAAATGAGCAAGCCTTAGTCAACTCTATTTCAAAGCATTATTATGAGCCCTTCACTGTTCTGTTGTCAGCTCAGGTATGACAGGAGGAAGCAGGCTGGGAGAAAGAGCTGTGGACCGGTCACTTCCCTCCTCTGTCCTCCGCTTCCTGCCAACAATCTGATGGGAACAGATTCGCTGGAAGTTTGGTAAAGGGGACGTGCACCGCCACAGTGACAGTACTCCCCTCATGGGTCTCCGGGGTGATGGGGAGTGCAGAGGGGAGCTCAAGGGGGGCCCAGAATAGAAACCATGAGGCAGACAGACACAGATAGTCTTTTAACACTCTGCTCGCAGGCAGCATGAGCCCCCACGTGACCACTAACCGGGATTAGTTGAGAGTGGAAAAAGAAAAACTCAATAGTAGCAGTAAATACTGGAAAAGAAATCCTGAATGAGGATGTTTTTAATTGACAAACAGCAGGCGAGTTTAACTTTTTTACAGCACCGAATGTGTCATGCTTAAATATAGTTTATATAGCTAATGGAACCACATCTGGACAACAGGCAGTCGGTCTAAAAGTGGAACTCACCTCATTCTTGTCTGCAGAGCCACCGGCGGGTGCGTCCTCGCCCGGTGCTGAGGCCGGACGCAGGCTCTGAGCTCCACCTGAGCCCATCATCTTATCCACGGGGGTGTCTGTCCTCGACCTGCCCGGAGAACAAGCAGCAACGTAAGAACTAAATCTAAACAGAAACAAGGTTGGATTCCCTTCGCCTTACGTTTCGGGGGACTCCTCAAAGATGCTGTGGCAGTCGGCGCTCTCCATCATGAGACTCCTGCTCAGGCCCGGCCCCCCCGCTCCGGGGTAGTGGAAGTTGGCGAACGAATGCGACATGGGAGAGACGCCCTTACCGGGCGCCGCGTCCCCGCCGCACGCTCGCTTCTCCTGCCCGGACAGCCCGTAGGACAGGCCGTCCAGCGCCGGGTTCAGGGAGCGGGACATGTAGGTGTCGGCGGACTGAGGGCGGCGGAGCGGCGAGGAGGCGTAGGGGGAGAGCTTGCTGATCAGCGGCGTGAGGAGGTCGGCGTAGCCCGTCTTGGCGGGCTTGACCAGCCGGTCCACGTGGATGCTGAGCTGCTTCTGCTCGAAGGCGCAGGAGAAAACGCTGTGGGAGAGGTTCTGCATCCAGGAGAGCAGAGACAGGTCCAGGTCGTCGCAGCCGTTCCCGCACAGCATGTCCACGCCCAGGAGGACCTCGCCCTCCGTGATCTCCTCTCCCGTCGCCTTGCTCTGCACACGGGGACACGACACGGAGGCTGTAACGGCGTCCCGACGGCCGCGGTGACTCGCCGGGGGGCTTTTGGTACCTGGCAGAACTCCACGCAGCACTCGTACAGAACTCCCTTCAGAAGCAGCTGGAAGAGCCGATCTCCGCTGGCCTTGAATCCAGCCTCGCTCAGCTTCCTGTCCGCCGGGATGAACTCCGCCACCATGATGCAGGCCTCCTCAAAACACTGCACCCTGGCAGTGCTCGGGTTCCAGTCCTATCAGAAAAAACAACAACACACAAATATTTACTTTAACTGACATGAACATGACTCACATTTTAAACCGAGGAAAGAAAATATGACTACAGGGGATGAGTTCAACAGTAACACGCTTCATCCCTGCTGAAATAAGATGTAGGCCTGAGTGTGTGACGGGGAGGCTCTCGCCTTGAACTCGGCGTGGTTTGTGAGGCGCGGCAGCGTGAGCAGCAGACACAGTTTGCTGTAGTCATCTTTAGAGGGGCAGAACTCCTCCAGAGCATGGAGACACTTGACCGCTTCCTGCATGGTGAACTCCATCTGGAAAACGTTAGAGAGAGACACCAGCCACAACATCAGGACAGAAGCACTGAGAGGCGAGCTGGACCACGCTATGCTTTCCTGAGAAGCCCCCACATCCCTGCAGGCATACGGATGCTGTTCTGGATGAAGCCACGTGTTTTAATGTTGCCACTGGTCGGAGTAACCCACAGAGACGCTAAGAATAAGGTCCTCTATAAATAGCATCAAACACGATACAGTAGAACCTCTAGATATGAATTTAATTTTTCTTTGTATGTTACAATATCCGTATTTTGGTGTAAATATTCCATAAGAATACACTGTCATTCGTATAATTAATTCCACAGCCCAAAACCTACGATAACTCCTTAACAAATACTGCAGATAATTACACATAGCAATAAAACAAATGCCTTATATAAGAGAGATGTAAAAAGAAAGAAATTATAAAGAAATAATCAATAAAAAGGGTTCTTTATTGGCACTTTACCTTTGAGAATTTCACTTTGGAGTTTGGAAAATTCGTAGGTTTAGGCAATCGTAAGTGTAATTTTCTACTACTGTAGGAGATTCCGCTCCAAGACGATATCATGATACAACTGCAGTAATCCTGAAAATGATCACTTACGGGGCAGATACTCTTATAAATTGCCTATTTTTGGTTTGACATTTGGCTCATTTAGATTTAAAAACTGAATTTTACAGACATATTGGATGTACATTGATGCTGACTTATTTTACTCCTGATCCAGCCACGCTGGCGTGTGGGATTTTGTACAGCAGAGTGATTAAAGGCTTTTTACGTGTCGTCTTAAGCGGGTTTAGGAGGCTCATGGAACCTCAAAAAACACCTCTAACTAGTCATTTAACCGTAGCTTTTGACTTACGTGTTGCGGTTCTTCCTCAGCAGACATGGCGTTGTTCACACACAGAGCCTCAAGAAACTTCTGCTTTAGGACGATGTAACGAAACCTGTGCACAGTATTCCAAAAGTCTGTTTACCGTTGATACCAGTAAATGTGTTCATTACTGTCCTCTAAGAGTAAAAACATAAGGAACACAACAGGGCCAGAACTAAAGGTGACTTAGACCATGAGCTTACCTCTTTCTATCAAACTTGTCCATGCACTCTAAAGGCTGGATGAACTGTAAAACCTCGTCCCACTGGCCGTCCAGGACCAATTGCCTGAAAGAGAGGAAAAAACGATTTAATCACACCTCTGCACAGACTCGTTGAAAAAGGAGACAGAGAAATACAGGCAAACACCTCCTGAAAATTCCAGTGAAGATTGATCATCAGAGTGAAATGTTATGCTCGGGATGAGTAGAGGGGATGAGAGCCCTCTCTGGCTCACATTCAAGGCAGCACTCACATCTGTCGCAGCAGCGCGCTGTAAATCAATACTGAGTGTAGAGAATAGGCTCAGAGTTTATGGCTGGAATGGTTTCCCTCGATTTCTGCTCTAAAGTAACTGTAAGTTAAGGCAGCGCAGAATGAGGTAGGCAGATCATCGATGCCACTTGCTGAGGCCATGTGGGGCATTGTGATATATAAATAAACATTTAAGTATGCAAAGCTGAGCTGAGGTGTGGATGCTGGGCTGTTTTAGTACATGCACACAAACCAAACTTCGCCCGAGGAGAACACTGGCCTCATTAAAACATGTGGTATCTGGTTGGATTGTTGTTTGTGAGGGAACCTGAATGAAATCAGTCTAAAAGCAACGGCCCGATTTGAGCCGTTCAAATTCTTGAAGTCATCGATGCTTCTTTTCTTAACACCTTTGCTGTAAACCATCCATTATAAACAAAAGAAGACAATGAGAAACTCCCACAACTTCAAGAATCTGATTATTCTTAATCTAGTCATCCAGCTCTCTGAAGGCCTGAAGTGTTTATCCCACTACCTTTTCCTTTACCCCATTGAATAATAAGTGTCATAAGGGAAGGATAAATCAACAATAGGCCTTTTTATCTGATTATTTAACACGAGCCCACTTCTTGTCATACTATCAGCCACTCTCTGCTGCAAATGCAGTCATTTGTGGTACTGATGATGTGCATGTTGGAATCACAAAGACAAAGTGAGGACCTTTGACCAGACTGTAGTGGGACTGTTACGTTGGATTACCTGAGGAAGAGCATGTCGTCTGAATACAGTCCATTGATGACTCCACTTTCCTTTTCCAGCGCCAGCATGCTGATGTGCAACTTTCTGGAGTTGAGAAAGTCCAGGATCACCTTGATAATCTCCACCTCCTTCACATTTATCGTTTCCTCCGCTGTCATGGTGACGACGGACTGATGCGGTCAGAGAGGGAAAGATAACGTAAACCACAAGAGGAAAAACAGAAGACTTTGAGGGCTCTCCTGTCAGAGCTGCAGCAACATCATCAGACAGAAGTTGCTGAATACGCTTTGGACCAGTTCCTGTGTCAGGCATCTATTGCAAAAACCCCCCCCCCAAAAAAAACACTTATGTTTAAATGATCTCCCAATTTTAATTTGATCTCCCAGATTTACAGTCAAAGAAACTTTAGGGTCCTTCAGCAAAACTGGTTGGCAGCAGTGACACATGGCCGAATAAGAGACCAAGCCAACGCTTTTTGGGGAAATTGAGGAGACAATAATAGAATAAATCCTAGAAACCTGCAGTAATCTGCAACGCCTTTTTATGTAAAGCTGGAAATCCCAGCAGGGCAGTCTGGCTTCATGCAAATCAACTGTTTTAGTCTGACACTCCTCAGCCTCCGATGTAGCACAATGGCCAAATTGATCGGATTTCTCCTCCAACATAGGTTTAGAGGCTATAGTGTTTGTTTTTTAGCATGATGAACGTGAAAATGCGACTGTTTTGAGTAGAGCCAGACTCTGCCCTGCGTGGCCAAGCCTGACATGATGCACAGGAGAAAAACACCTAACATAAGTTTGTTTTTACGGTCGGTTTTCTATGACACGTTTACTTTGCTCTTTCGGTAGGAGAGAGTTTTTTTTATTTACGCACAAATAGCTGTAAAACCAGCACGAAAGATACTTTATCGAGCGGGTTGAATAACCAAGACAGGGGAACCGCAGTCCCGCTAAGCTAGCCGGAGACATGGTTAGCCCATAACACTGGCTCTAAGCCACCAGGCAAGCGGAGTAAGAGGCTTAAGCTACTTGTTAGCTCTATATAGGCACTGAAATTAGCCGCCGGATTAAAGTCAAACCAGCAAATGGCCCGTTACTGTCAAAGCTCAAAGATGACTAATTTGACCGGCTATAGGAAAGGAGACTGGCGAGCTAGCCAGGCCGAGGAGGGGAGCGGCATCATCCGCTAGTTAGCCCGGCGGACGGGCGGGGTGACGGGCTTTCCTCCCGGCAGCAGCACGAGCCGCCGCGCGCCGAGCAGCCGTTGACAACACTCACCTTTTTTTCTAAAAATACATGGGACGAAGAAAAACGCCGTCCTGTATCCAGGCGGTGTCACGACGGTGCCGCTCCGAAACGTCAGCGCCGGCCGTGTGTTGAGCTGTTTTGTTGTGTGTTTTTTTTTTTTCAAAACGCCCCCTCCCTCCGTGTCTGTGTCCCCGCTTGCTGGATCCTTCGGTGCCGCTACGCCGACTGCGGTGTGCCCTGCCCTGCCCAGCCCCACCTCAGCCCAGCCCCACCTGCTCCTTTCAAACTTTTCAGCCAGTCTCTGTACCGTGCTCACGGTTATTATAGTGTTTCTGTGTTTTTATTTTGTTTATTTACGTATTTATGTATTGGTCAAGGGGCACAGGAAGATAGAAATGGCATGGCACTGGTGCACACAAAGTGATGGTGCGTAGTGTGTGTGTTAGAGACGCACAAAGGGTGGAGAAGGGTGGCGTCCCTACTGAAGCTGCTGCTGTGTCCTCAAGACAGCTTCATATTTGGCACATAATGGCATTAGTTATGTAGTATCAACACATATGGTCTACTTTTTCATTTAAATTTCTTATCTATTCATTCATTCATCCATCCATCCATTATTCATCCATCCATTGTTCCCGCTTATTCCCTAATGGGGTCCTGGGGGGAACTGGAGTCTATCCCAGTGGTCAATGGGCAAGAGGGGGGATACACCCTGGACAGTCCCCCAGTCCATCACAGGGCCACACAGATACACACAAGGACAAACAACCACGCACACTCACATTCACTCCTAAGGCCAATTTTGAATGTCTAATCAACCTAACAAGCAGGTTTTTGGACTGTGGGAGGAAGCCGGAGAACCCGGAGAGAACCCACGCAGACACAGGGAGAACATGCAAACTCCACACAGAAAGGTCCTGGTTCCCCTGGGGACTCAAACCCAGAACCCTCTTGCAGCCCATCGTTCATTCATTCAATTGCACTAAATTGCTGTAAGACAGCTGAAAAACATCCTGAATGCTGCTGGAGTTCTGACCAGAACAGGGAAATATGACCATACCAGCCCAGTGCTCGGGTCTCTGCACTGGCTTCCTGTCACTCAGAGAATAGACATCAAAACAGTAGTGCTTGTGTACAAATAAACTCGCCTTGCTTTGGCAGACATTGCCTAAATTTTCCTTTTCTCCCTTTTTAAATGAATGTGTCTTCAATTCAACCACCTCATATTCATATTCAGTGTAGACACATACCCAGGATGCAAGATGCTTCCAAGGTGGTTTCAAAGTGGTTCCCTTGTTCCTTCAGTTGATGCTGCAATACTTTGATGGAGCTGTTGCTTTTAGACGTTTCCTAGTAGGATTAGTAGAACAACCATGTCAATGGTTTCTACCGCTTTCCTTTTGCAAGGACTTTTTTATTTGTTGATGTATGCAGGATTGTTGTTTTACTTGTATTCAAGTTTTTATCAGTTTAACTTGCCCGGAGTGCCTCAACTTAAGATGCTTAATTTTAACTTTAGCCTTCTTTTTTGAAGCAAAACAGATTGTATAATTTTAGTAGACCATCTGGGGTAAGGAATTTTTCCATTGTAGCTTGACAGACTGTGTCACTATTAGGTGTTATATTAATTTTCATTTCAGTTTGCATCAATGTTTATTATCCCAGAGTCCCATTTTATAATTTTTGAACTACAAATCAACTATAAATACAATTGTAGGATTGTACAATTTACACTCTAACATGGTCTGTATCACAATTAGTTTGCATAAAAAGGTCTAGTTTAAAACAAGTGCAACTGATTCATTGATAGAACAACCATTTGTGAACCCATCTCTACTTTTCTAAGTATATGAGTGGAACTTTTGTTTGAGTGACCTCCCTATTGATTGTGTGGGGTGACCAGGCTAGAGTGGGTCAGCCAGAGCTTGCTGTCTTTGATTATTCAGCTCATCATTGAAACGAAGGCAAGCTGATTTCATGTTGGTAGGTACTATCAATTAAAAACACAGTACAATTGATTCTAGAGTGTTGTTGATAGTTGAAATTTTAATAAGCTTAAACAAATAAAGTCGCAACAAAAGTCCATGAACAACTCAGCATACATTGTTAATAAAAAAAAAAGGAATTGGGAGAAATAATCTCAGTATCCTTACTTGATCTCATACAACGTCACAACAGTAAAGCCTCAAGAAGACTTTAAATAGCTCGAACATACTTTGCAGTCAACACACATCCTCAAACAAGTGTAGTGCTTCTTAAGTACACTCTTCCAACTGGTAAATGTCATTACAAAAAATATTTTTATATGCCAAAAATATATCTGTACAGTGTCAACGCACACTGAGACAACGCACGATTAAAAAAAAACACAACAGTAGGGTCAAAGTAAAGTAAAAAGGATGACAATGTGAAAGGGGACCTGAAATGCTATCCTAGTGAATTAATCATTTTATTTACAATTGTGGACGAGTTTGAGAGAGATCTGGATCCAATAGTTATGGCAGTAACCACATTTAAGTGACATTTTGAATATTCTATCAGCAGCATGGTCAATGGTGACTATTAAGATGACTTAAATTGCACAAACTGATGACACAGTGAAGGATTTCCATCTATTCTACGTCTCATTAAAGTGTTATCTCTGATACTGCTGACAGATCACACTCTTTGCATCGGTAGCATAATAAAAGGCCCCAAAAAACATACTTGTACACATACATGATAAATTATAAAAGCTACTGAAACGCTACTACAAGCTGACTTGTTCATTTTGAATGGAACTGCTATTATATACAAACTAATTCAACTTATATACGTACTGTGTTACAGTTCTCTGAATGACGTGACAGACGCTTTTTAAAATATCTTCAAAGCATTATCAAAATGAAATAAATTAGGAGTCCACCCCAGGTGCTTCTCAGAATCATTTGACGGGACTCCAAAAATGGCAACAATATAACTGCAATCACCAGCTGAGGTATGCCCCACTCTCTGCTTGGCACTTAACTGTACACATACACAAATTGGACTCGTTTACAAGCTCGCCAGTTACAAAATTTAAAAGCAAGATAGAAAGCACAAAAGCAAAACTCTCATCGCAAATGCTGCTTCTCATCACAGACGGGCCACCATTCAGTGACTGTGGAGGGGCGTAATCTGGCCCCCGAACCTGCGTGTGCACAAAACAAGAGAGATCCTCTTTTTCTTAACCGGACAAAATGACACGAACACTCATGGCGCGTCTGTAGGACACAAAACAAGCATAAGGCCACACATGATCGACTTGGAGAAACCAAACTGCCTCGGAGAGGCGTGACATTCAGTGCTTCAGTGGTTCAACTAGGTAAGGCATTGGTTCGCCTGTTATTATCTTCTGTTTTTTTTTTCTATATTTGGCACATGAGAACATCGAAACACATGCGTACAATGACACACTCCTGCCGCACCGCAGTGTCACATCCCAGTTGCGATCCACAGTGAGAGCGCGTGTTCCTCGAATTAAAAGCACGAGCCACCAGCTCCTCTGTCCTCTGTCCCAAGCGGAGCGTGTGCAGATGTTGGCCCAGCATCTGGAGTTACTTTGGGTGTTTCTTGGGCGTCCCTTGCTTCTTGGTCTGCCACAGATGGCTGGCGATGGTGATGGCGTCCACGCTAGCGGACATGGTTTTGGCCGGGATCTTGCTGAACTGCTTTCTGTCGGAGTTATACTTGTAGAGCGACTCGATCATCTTGGTGGTGATGGTTTTGGGCCCGATGCCAGCCAGCCTGGCGATCTCCTCCGTCTCGGGGCAGTAGGTGTAGACGGACCTGAACTGGCATCCCGAATCCCGGAACAACACCAGGAAGTTATTGGCTTCTGATTTCTCCATTTCCTGCAGAAGATCATGCAAACGAAGAAAAATAAGTAAATAAAAAACAAACAAACAAAAATATAGCTGATGTAGGTTTGCTTTTAGGGGTGTGTTCACGCTAGCAGCTAGGTTTTTGTGGTCAAAACCAAAGGAAAAATTTTGTTCTGGTTACTTGCTAAGTGTTGGGATTAATGAGCCCCCTGTAAAAAAAGATTAAGCTATTTGTGGTCACTTAGGACTGTGTGTAAAAGACTCATATTAAAACGAGGAGTTCGTTAGCTGTACTGTATGGGAAAAGTGGTTCTGCTGTCTGTAATAAATGAACAAGACTGAGAGGAGCTAAGATTAAAAACACAAACAAGTACAATGCAAAAATGTCAAAATAAGTCTACTGAACTAAACATGTCAACTGTGAACACACCCTTTGTTGTTCGAAGAAACAGAAATGAACTACATACATCAAGTATCTTGTTTTTCTGCCCCTCGTTGACTTTTCCGGCCAGGCAGCAGTGAGCCAGGGCGTTCTGGATGATATGCTTGTTGGACTTGGCACTAGGCTCCTTATATAGCTTGGGTCCTGGGGGAGACAAGCATGAAACAGCAAAACTGAAACACCCTTTCATGTAGAGCGCGTGTGTGTGTGTGCAGAGAACAGCATGATTCTTTCTGTGCCCACCTGTGTACTCGTTGTTGGAGGGGTTGGAGGAGGTGGTCGACTCGTTTTCCCAATCCTTCTCTCCATTCCGACTACCGGCCGAAGGACAAGAGGAAAACCCCCCGGCAGAATCGGGCCTGAGGAGCGGGACGACGCGAAACAAAGAAGAAAAACCGACAAACGACAGGCATGAGGCAGATATCGAACCACAGGACGCGCACAGACATGCATGCATGCGCGGGGATGTGGTAAAACAAGGTCAGACGGCGCGGCACAGTTCTCTGAACCCTTTCCTGTTGTCTGGCATCACATCACACGGTAATAAGGGGTTGGATCAAATGAAGCTGAGCAGCCAGGGTCGACAAAAGCGTGTTCAGCCAAGCGAAGCCTGTCTCCACAGACACGGCGAGGGGATGGACCGCAGAAGTCACGAAGGAAACAAGAAAAAAGCACAGGAGCGAAGCATAGAGGAGATGGCAAAGCAAAGGCCGTCACAGCAGGACTGCCAAAGGCAGGAGGAGGAAGAGGAGGAGGAGGAGGAGGAAGAGGAGGAGGAGGAAACGGCTTAGCGGCGCAAATCCGATGAAAACCTTGATGGGAGAGAAAAGCTACGCCGATGGGATGACCGTACCACTCCAACACCCGCGTTCACTTTTCTGTGTTTGTCGGAGCCGGAGGGGAAATGACCAGAAGCTACAGCACGTCTACACGGAGCCACATCTACAACACTTTTAGGTTCGACTGGGTTACTGACCTTCCCTTTCTTTCTTTGGGAGAGCTTAAAAAAAACGGGGCAGAAACTACTTTGTGGCGTCTTTGTCGCATGCAGAGTGGAGGAAGAGGGAGAGAGGGATGAAAATATCACTTTGAAGAGTGCAGAGCCAACTGGCCTCCATGAACAATAGAGCCACAAGATTTTAAAAAACCAATCAGACAACACCCCGCTCATAAAAAACACAGTAGGTTTACGATGTGTGGGACAATACTGAATGCGTGTGGTGACGGCTTCCCTCAAGTTTGATCGAGAGTCTAAAAATTGAAATTTCCCAAATAGCGCAACTCACCTGTTATTCTTCCGGTTGTCCGGCTGGTCTCTGTCGTTGTCAGCCAGATTGAGGGAGGCCAAGGAGACACTGGACACGGAGAAGCCTCGAGGACGCACCCCTGCACCACGACAGCACACAGGGTGAGCACGGCCTGATTTATCGGCCCGGTGCCTGCTCGCGTGTGTCTCTGCGCTCACCTGTAGCTCTCACAGGGGGGGTGGCGGACTCCATGACGTCCCTGTGGATGGACTTGGGCCGTGGCTTCTTCTTCAGGCTTCCGGATCGAGGCTTGATGACCTCGTCCATGTCCTCCATCAGCTTGAGCTGCTTTCTCCTCATGTATTCGTTCTTGATGTAGTCCCTCCTCGCTTTCTCGTCGTCCTTCTTCAGCTGCTCCTCCTCGGCTTTTAACCTGGAAAATAAGAACGATGTGTTACTTACTGCAGGGTACAAAAAAACAGTGGTAATACAGTGGTCTCCAATGCAAATCTGGAGCAACGCGAGGCGTGGAGAGACGTACCGAGCAGCTTCCCTCTTTTGCTCCTGGTCCAGCTCCTGCTGCTGCTTCCTCTCCTGAGCCTCCTTTTCCCTCTGAAGTCTTTTCTCCAGCAGAGCTGCTTTCTTTGCCGCCATGTCCTCTTCACCTTTTACGTCATCCTGGCGGTGGACAAAAGCACACATACAGAAAGTCTAAGATTATACCGGGAGATCAAATGTTACTCATGATCAATACAAAGTAATTGAATAGGTTGAAGTTAGAACAGTATCGCTGTCGTGTTCAGGGCTTGTTTTTTTTTTAAATAAGTGAACTCAAGATAAAGGCGAGTTACACAGTATGGGTCCATTATTGGCTCACACAATTGGCAAAATTATGGCAAAACGTTGGTCACATTTTACAGAAAACCTTTAGAAAACATTTTAAAGGTGCAGCTACAGACAAATGTAAACACTTCTGACAGAAAAACCCGAATAAGAAATCCCGCAGCAGAGCACCCCCTCAGAAGAAACACAATGTCTCACAAGTGGGAAGATTTCCTTCAGACCGAACAGAAGTTATTCAATTTTCCAGTCCTGAATCTTTGTCCCAAACTGCCTTGGGCCAAATACATCAAATGTTGTCCTATCATCAGTTTATTAGACTACTACTTGTTCTCAGGGTTTTTATATGTGTTTTTTTGGACCAGATTGCCCCGGGCATGCTGCTTTGTACTTCCCATAGTTCACAGTCAGAGACCCTGAAGGTCCCAGCACAGGGTAATGTAAGGCCATGTAGTCTGTTTTATTAGTGAAAGTTAGCAGTGATTTAGAAGAGAGCACAAAAAGGGTTAGAAAATGTGGACGCAGGATGATAAAAAAGGAGGTTACTGCAAGTGTTAGTGAGTGTTTTCTTTAGCCCTATCAACAGATCCGAATGTATTCATTTTGCAATGGGGTCAAACATAGAAACAGAAAGAAAATTATAGATAAATATCTCATTATTGCAAAAGTTGGTAATCTTTGCTTAAAAACTAATCAACTAACGCATCAGTTAAACAAGTCGTTGTTCAACAAGCTGGTACCTACTGTGTTCCTTATTTTCAGCAGAACAGACATGAATCTTACGGTAGGTCTAATTTGACCAGCTCCTTATTTGTTTGATCTATATACAGAAATGCGCTCCGGCTCACCTTGAAGAAGAAGCCACAGCACATCTTTTGGTCTTCTCCATAATTCTCTCCTCCTGCGTCTCCTTGCGTTTTCTGGCGTTGGCCGTCTGGAGGCTTCAGCTCGGACAGAGGCACCTCCACCAGGTCCTTCCTGTCCTGGGGCTCCGCCTGAACCCGGCTGGCTGCGGCCCCCTGTTTCTCCGACACGGGCTGACGCAGAATCTCGGTGAACCACGGCTCTTGGAGCTCTCTCCTCGGCCCGGCCCTCCCCTGCTGCCGCTGCTCTTCCTTCTCTTCCGCTGCTTCCTCGCCGCTTCCCCCAACGGCCGTCCCCTCTTTGTTCTTGGGGTTGTCTTTGTGATCATCGGTGTCTTGGCTCTTTTTTTCCCCGGGGTTCTCGTTGTGCCCCAGGTATGGGAAAGAGCAGAGCTGTGTTTGGCTGGAGTTGAAGCGCCTCAGTCGGGGTATGCTGTCCACCGAGGTGGGGGTGTTGAGCATCCGGCTGAAGGGGGTGACCTTTAAGTCGTTTGGACGCGGAGTCCGGGTTGTTCTGGCGTGGAAGGAAGCCGGTCTCCGCTTGATGCCGGCAGGGGAACGGTTCGGGGCGCGGGGGGAGCCGGAGGAAGACAGGATGGGGGACAGGGACCCCACTGAGCCCCGGCCCGATCCCCGGCCGGTCACGCTGCTGCTGCGCAGCTCACGGAGCTGCCTTTAGGCGAATGAAACACAAGCACAGATTTCTCACACGACGTCGGCGGGAAAACGCGATTTTAAAGCGCTGAAATGAGGCGGTACCTGTGCGGGGAGGGAGCGGGAGCGGGTATGACCCAGGCCTGCTGCTGCTGCTGCTCTCTCATGGCCATGATCTTCTCCTGCTGCTGGGACAAACGCTGCATCTCTGTCTGCAGGAAGCCCAGTGACGTGTTCAGCCTCTCGATGGAGCGCGTGTACTCCACAAGGTCCACTTCTCCTGGGGTCACAGCTGAAAAAGCATCAACGGAAAGAAAAAAAAAACTGTTGGTTATTTCACTACAATACAGTGAACGAAGAGTTTCAAAGCCTAAACAGTATTGTGTAATAATCTCCATGATGTGGATAATAATTGACTTGTAGTTGTTTGCGTCTAACATTCTGCTTCTGTTCTGAAAAAGAATAAATCAGTACATTGGAGTTTCCCGTGGCACGGGCCACACAAAATGACACACTCCATTTTCCTCGCTCTCTCACTCCGACAACATGTAATAAAATGGCCACTCCACCCACCGCCACCGTCTTCACAGGGGGATTTGGGAGCCGCTCCGTCCGGTTTGCACCGCTCTGTCTGCGCCACACTGCCCAGGCTGCCCCCCTTTGAGGTGACTGGCTCCGGTGAAGGCGTTTCTGCTCCTCCTGAGTTTGGGGGGGTTGTCACGCCTTTCCTTTTCACTATATTCAGAAAGGCCGTCCTGCCCATTTTCTGACGATGCCGGGTGAAAGCCGCCTCCACCTGGGAGTCGTGCACAGGGGGTTACGATTGGGGGTCCTAGAGAAGATCATACTGGATATTTCTTTAGCCGTCACATCTGTTTACCTTTTTCTTTTGGGCTTCAATGGCTCTGCGTTTCTCTTCGAGCTTCATCCTCAGCTGAATCATCTCTGTTGCGATGATGTGGGAGGGGTCTCTGGGAGAAGGCGTCACCGGAGAGGGCGAGGTGATGGGCAGGGGAGGTGTTGAGAACTAGAAAAAAAAAACAGCCGGACAATTTAGCACCAATCTGCCTCCTCAGCAGACACAATGCAAAACGACGTGGGTGTAAAAAGAAGTGACTCAGAATCGAATCTGCCGCCCGACCTGAGAAGAGGGGGTTCTGGCCGGGTGGGTATACGGCACGTTCAGATCAGAGCTGTCTGGAGTGGTTCCCCCGCTGCTTCTTCCCTCCAGCTTCCTGAACTTCTGCTCGGCGAAGCTGGTCATCCGCACCAGGCCGCCCGCAGAGCCCCCCGAGGACGAGACGGGGCTGACCGTGTGGGATCTGGGAATGGTGGGCGCCGAGCTGGGGCAGGGACTGCCGCGCTCCCCTCCGTCGCCCCTCTCCTCCTCCAGAGGGGCTTCGCCACCCCCCTTCTGTTCTCCCTCCCCCCCCTTCTCCTTCTCGGGCCTGGCGGGCAGGGGGCACGAGCGGGTCGTGGCCTCGCAGTCCGGGTCTATGTCCGAGTAGTCCTTCAGGGACGAGGAGTCCTCATCCAGACTCTGAATGTCCTCCGTCCGCACGTGGATGCCCGTGTCCACTTCGTCGGTGGACGCAGAGTTGGGCTCGCGGTCATTCGGCCGCGCCTTGGCTGGACCCGGGTCGTCTCCTGGACCCGGGTCGTGTCCTGGACCCGGGGCCCTCGGGGGTTCCGGAGGCTCGGCGCCGTGGAGGAAGAAGCTGCTGTCCCCGTCTCCGACTCCCAGGCTGGCATGGGGCCGCTCTGAGTCGTGGATAATCTTGAGGGCCTCCTCGATGCTCGGGGGCGTCGAAGGGCTTATGTGACCCGTTTGGTTGCTAGGGTTTGTACTGGGGCTGCTGCTGTCAGGTAGGACTCCGTTGGAATACCTAAAAATAGTATTCAAGTGTATTAGAGAACGTTCAAGAGCTATGTCTGAAGCTTTAAATGTATCAAGACTCCCCTGCAAATCAAAATCAAGGAGGAATAAATTAACATTTTTTCCGAAATATTAAATAGCCTTTTCATCAAAGGGGGAAACAACAATTAGACATAAAAATTCTTTTGTCATAAAGATAATTAAACATTTGACATGAGGTATACCAGCTATAATTTGCGATTAGTTACTCATAAAAAACCCTCCCTCATCTGTACCTGCTTTGGTTCTTCAATGAAAAGGTGTTGTTCCGTCCTAATGGCTTTTGGGAAGTGAAGTCCTCCTCCTCCTCCGGTATGTGTCGGTTCTGACCGTTCACACTGACCGGTGTGAGGGAGGGGTTGCGTTTTATGGCTCCTCGAGATGCATAGTGAACTTTGAACCCCAGACCGTCACTGCTGGCTGAGCGAGTCATGCCACGGAGTGGAGGAGCCTCACAGGGAGGCAACGTCGGGTCTCCGTCCAGGGGAATCTCAAAGGAGATTCCACCAGAGGAAGGGCTGGAGAAAGAAGACGGAAGGAAATGTGCTCTGAGCTTGTCAGTAAAACAACGGGGCACTAAAATAAATGCGCGTATAAGTGTCTTGCACTGACTGTTTTTCTTTGGGCCATGTCCCAACACAGCCATCAACATAGGACATGGAGGTAGATCTCTTTATACCACCTGCAGCAAACAGAGAAAAAGTCTGTTTAAGTTTCTTACGAGAGGTAGAGGTCTACCAGCCAATAGCAAAATGCTTATTTTGAGTACAAAAAGGGCTAATCCATTGTGTTTAAGTGCAGAATAACAAAAAATCCATCCATCCATTTTCTATACAGCTCATTTCCAACTGGGTCGTGGAGCCTATCCTAGGGGACGATGGGCGTGAGGCGGGTTACACCTTGGACAGGCCGCCAGTAGAGCAAGTCTTATGTATAAATGTACCAGGATTACACCTCCCTTGATGACTTTATTTGCTTTTGCTCAACTGTGCTCAACTCTGTACCTTTGGGACACTAAATCCAGAAGCATTGTTATAATTAATTAAAATGTGCTTTGAAATAATGTGCTAACTGCTCAATTACAGTTTTAATGCTTCTGTATCTGATTTGAAAACTGATGTAGATATGCACTTGGGGGTTTTGAGACATCCCCACATCTGCTAATCACTTTTCATGCATGGATAGCTATTTTTAATAACGTCAATTCAACATTTAAAAGCTCTCTGAGCAAAGAAAATGGCCTGAAACCTTTCTGTAATATTAGATTTAAACTGCTCTGGGTTGCTGTTGGTTGGAATTCTCAGTCATCCAGGTCATACGTGTCCTTTTCTCGTGCTCATAGGATTAATCGGTGTTGCTCCTACACAGTAAATAAACCTGTTACATAAAACCCTAATATGATTACTTCTTCTTTTGGTACCTCTTAAGGGTCCCCATAGTGGATCGGTTTACAACTCAGCTGTCTCCAGTTTCAAATCCTGTCTTTTATGTCATTGTCACTGAGCATGTGTACGCAATAGGGTAAAATGTATGTGTTCTCCACCTAAAACTGAACTCAGAATGCTTGTAAACACGTGGATTAGACTCAGTGTGTGAAAATCCCACATATCTGCCCGTGTCTTTTGTCGGATGGGTAAACGTGTCAGACACTGGGGCTGAAAATCCCACCGAGACATTTCTTGACTGTCACCGTATAATCTGTGCCATCTGACACCACTGTCATTCAAACAATGCAAAGATAACATCTGTGCAGTGACTTCAGCTAAGTTTACAGTACATGTTCCGACGATTTTGCAATATGAGAGTTAGAAAAAGCAGAATATTTGGAGCACGGATGTGTCAGATATTCGGCTGATGTAACACAACTCACCTCTTTTTGACTTGGTTTAATTATTTTGTGCTACAAGCAAACATTATATTGTAAACAAATGGAATGGAGCACATAATGCAATGTACAACTGGAAATACCTTCTGCAAAGACGTTTTCCGGACTGGAGGGTTTGTCTGCATAGCTTTGTTTGACAGGACTGGCCACGGGGGGCATTTCTCTGCAGGATGATACCGGCTCACAGGCTGCTGCAGAAAAACATATTTTAAACGTCAGCAGAGTCAACAATCACCAGTCCATGCTGATTTACAGTACAATCAATCCAGTGAAAATTAATTCTGTCATGTACGGTAATAATAAAGTGGACTGTACCGTCTGGATCGAAGACTCTGGGCTGTACGAATGACGGTTTAACCACTTCAAACCACCAGAAAAGCTCAGCCATAAACACCAGATAGTTACTCTGCAAGACAACAAACATCTTTACACATCTCAAAACACCTCTTTTTGCTGTTCACTTCCCCCACATAAAACAACAAATGCTGTATCATCTAGATTTGTGCAGACCACTGAGGTCTCGGGCCAGCCAACTGTTGCTAAGTAACTGGCTCAATGGGTGTGCTCATGAACTTGAATATTGGAGCATGTTTCACAGTCTGGCTTCTTTAACATCAAAATCAGGCATCTCCGAAAAGTGCTAAAACACCATCTGGAGTCTGGTTTAAATCTGTCACCCCTCCACAAACACATTCATTCATCTTAAGTGGAAAACCAACATGAAAACAAATGAATCAGTAGAATAAACCGGTGAGGTTCAGGAAGTCTGCACAGGTGGTTTCAACTGTAGGAAAACATTTCATCAGCGTGTCAGTGATTTCTATCTCTCTAACTCATCAGAAAGTGGACATCTAAACTGCAAGTCTCCCCACATAATGTATCATTCACATTAAGATTCTGTGAGAGTCTGTAGTGAATAGGCACCGGCTATAAAAGGCCCTCGTGACTCCCTGCTTCACCATTATACCCACATTCAGTAAATATACACACAGAGTACAAACAATTCAGTCAATGAGACACGAAAGACAGAAAGAGAAACACAGAGTAAGGAGTGTGTAAGTGTGAAAAACTCACTGAAAAGACGAAAATCCCACTCACTTCAGACCATGACTTGAATCTGAATGTTTCCACCCCATACTATTTACACACACTGCCTGAGCTGCCCGTGATGTTCTGGATAGCACAGACGTGCATTTGGAATTGTACAGAAGGTCTTTTACGAATCACAAACAAACGTGTGTGGAGACAGATTTGTCTGAGGACACAGATCTGCAAAGCCTTCAACATTTTGAATCCTGAAAAAAAATGGAGGGGCGAGGCAGAAAGAGACGGGTCGTGACTGTGAAGCTCCTCGGAGCAGAATCTGTCCTCTGTCTGAGCAGGAGTGGGCTGAGGTGAAGTGGGACGGCTTTGTGCTGCATCTCCACATGGAAACCACCACACACAGACAGGCTATTATAACATACCATATACAGTATATAACCCAGCAGCAAAGCTAAACTCTGTGCGGAACAAGGATCTTTATGCCTCTGAAGAATAAACACACACACGCAAACACTGCCATTATTAAACTTTTCCTCTCAGTGACTCATTCTTTCCTTTGTGTAATCTCCCGAAAAACCCCCTTTTCTCCCCTTCTTGAGCTGGAACAACTGGAACACTTTCCGTACCTTCCACCCACTCCCGTTCCGGCCCGAGTGTCTTACCTTTATCGAGGCGTGCGCGTAAAGCAAGTCCTCCAGGCTGAAGTGGCAGCAGTGGTTGAGATTGTTTCTGCAGAAGTCCTGCACCAGCTGGAGGTTGTACAGACTGTCAGCCAGGGACATGGTTTCCTTGAGACAGATGTCTGCTCCGCCAGGGGAGGGGTCAAACACACGCACACATAAGGGAGGAGGGATAATAGCAGAGGCCAGACAGGAAAGACAGGGAAAGATAAGGCTTGGTTTATGTTAAAAAAACAAGAGCTCAGAAGGGAAATCGCCCGCTTGCGAACTAGCAGTCTGCGATTTTGAATCATGCCGAATACGTGAGACTATTTGCAACACCAGCCTACAAATGACTCAAACTCTTTCCAGATGAATCATCATGGTTTTCAGATTTTGATGTTTCAGAACCATAAGGACAGCCCATGCATGTGTGGGATGTTTAACAAGAGGGAACAGAGCAGGGACAGCCAGAGCATTACAACTGCTCATTTCTCTGGCGTGACATCATGCTGAACTTCACTGTATTTCTCTGACATTTCTAGAGTAAATCAAGCTTCAAGGCAAGAAACCTTAACGAGGCACAGCTTGCTTTTTTACATCTGGTTCTTGCGTTTGTCAGCTTCCAGTGAACTAAATTTAATCCAGAGGTTTTTTTTTTAGAGAATGAACACAAGAGCTGTTTATCTTTGAAACAGCAGCCAGATAACAACTCCTCTAACGGCTCTCTGCCGCATACAACTTGTGACCAATCACATCGCAGCCTGGGGCATTTTCAGAATGCTGGCAGGCTGGGAGGAAACACCTCTTTGTTTCTCACCGTCTCAGTCTGAATGCCAGAAGTCCAACTTGTGCTACAGTGTAATAGTACTGTTACAACTGTGTAAATATTGTCAACGGGGCTCATTCTTTCTTCAAAATATGAGAGTTTGTAGCTCATTAAATGCCTTCAAAACACTTAACCTTACAGAAAATGCATCTTTAAAGCATAGTTTTGCAAAAAATAACAATTACCAAAGGTGCTGATGGATGATAAATGCACTACTGGTCTCGAGCATCATATTAAAATGTGTTGTGTTGATTACAGTACAGTAGCAGAGAGAAGAAAACAGGGTCCTTTGTTTATGTCCAGATTCGAAAATTGATTGCCCACAGAGGTAATGCTATTGTCACCTCCCTAAATTGAACTTGGTGTATGAATGTTGGCGAAAGATAGAACATTTGGTGAGTGGGAGTGTGTGAACGCGGGGTGACCCACCCTCCAGCCTGACGGCCTGCGGGCAGTAGAAGTGCAGCAGGGCGGTGAGGGCACAGCCGTCCGTGTTGTCTTTCAGCAGGTTCTCCACCAGGGGGAGGGACGGAGCGCTCCTCTGGGCGTGCTCCCTCCTGTAGCGGGCCTGAAACCATGGCAACGGCACAAAGACAGGCCTTTATGTGTCATCGGGGTGGACGTGAACGCCTTCCCCTCCTCTGCCGGTACAAACACAGCAACGTGTGCCGACACCCGCATGCACCAATCCATCACACACACACACACACACACATTAACACAGGTGCAAGAGTTAGTCTGAGGAATTTCAAGCACACGGCCGAAATAAAGCAGGTTGTATTGATCATGCAGTCAACTGGCCACTGACATATCCTCAAAAGACTGCCTTCAAAAACGTCACCTTGCATTTTGATCAAAAAGATGTCATCAAAACAGTCACAATTTTTGCTCTTTGTGACCCGTTTTGGGGAGTGGTTCCTAGTCATGATGGTCGGGAGCACAATGTATGACAGCAAATGAATAGTTTGTACCTCTAACATATATGACTTAGTGTCCCTAAGGAAGTCTAAACCTCAGCTGTGGATTTGTAGCAGTCAACACCGGTGATTTAGAGTTTTAATAATCTGTGCAAAGGTTTCCATTCAGTCTTAAGGTTCTCCATGTGTCTCTTTGGACACAAGTAAAAACATGCAGGTCAGCAGTACCACATATGTCTTCGGGTATCAGTTTTCCCTGTTTACCTGTAAACTAAAACTTTCCAATATCTGCATTTTATAACAGATCAAGAGCGAGAAACAAGTGTTGTTGCTTGTACCACAACACCTGATAAGACATTTATCATTCTTTTTAAGTCAGTTTCAACGCACTTCAAAATACAGTTAAATTCAGACGACAAAAAGGTCAATTTTCAACACTACAACTGGAGTTCTGTTGTAACTGGACTTGGCTCGGTAAAAGGTAGACTTCCCTTTCCCGTATTGAAATAGCTGTAGGTGAAAAAAGTCACTGTGCCTGATATATATTAAGTAAAGGACAGGTCGGAAGTTTGGGAATCGTCTGACCATACAATGAGGGGACTCAGGGCCACATGCACTGATGATAAACAAGGCAGGTGGGAGGGCATAATGGAAGGGGTGTGATTAAGGGACAGGGGGGTTGAGAAGGGTTTTTCAGAATGGATGGACTTACAGGTACTAATCTCCAGTACCATTTGCAAGGAGACTTGATAGTGGATCATGATTGGACAAGAGGAGAGAGTGGGAAAGGTATTAGGCCAACAACATTGAAAGAAAGTGCTGACACTGCTAGGACTGGGTGATAAAACCAGAGAGTTACACCGCTACATAAGCCAAATAACTCTGAGACATATGCTCTTGGTAAAATACAAAGTCATAGACAATGCTGAAATGCAAATGGTTGCTGAGTTGTTGTCCATCAAGTGCATTAAATCAAGTATGAAACAAAATCTTCTCTTCCCCTGATGAACAAGTGTTGCATCCAGAAAAATAAGAGTCCTTTCATTATAATTAGTAGGATTAAAGTGTCACATAAAGAACCTTTGAAATGGTGTTTAGCCTTACCTCAATCATGTAATAGTTATCCCACTTTCCTTTATTCTAGCATATTCTGTCACATTGTGCCGTGCATCCTCCGTTTTCACTTAATTCTCTTAAATGCTTTTCCCTCTCAAAAAGCCCTGACTAATAAAAACAGACCGCACGTACAGTCTGTGGTTGAGATGTGCCAATTTTGCGACTTAGTACGCATTAAACGAATATGTTACATGATGTAAAATAACCGAACTGTACTACAGACAACAGTACAAGATAACTGTCTTCTGTCAGAATGAATATCTGTGGTATGGACTAGAAAACCCTGATCCCTGATCCACAGCACACTCTTTTTACAAGGTTTCTATGACTAATGTACAAGTGTTTTTCATATAGTGTAATCTTACATCGGCACGATCTTTGTAGATGTTGCTCTAGAGTCAACTGAGAACATATTTTCGTTAAAGGAATAATAGTTTCTACCAAGCTTAATCAATTTTTCTGACTGCCCAGTCTGTTGATGAAGAATACACAGTCACAATTTTCAGCCTTGGCAACCAAAGTTATTGGAAAAGCTTGACCTGATTACAGTGACGGAATTAACCAAATTTCATTCAACCAAAGACTTTGAGCACCTTCTGGACATTTTGCAAACTGCACTGTTCGGTAATTAAGACAGAAAAAACAGAACCTCGGGGTTACTCCCCTTGATCCTCATTTTCTTACAAACCACAACAGTCCCCGATTGTAATTAAGTGATTTAGCGTGTATATCCCCCTAAGTTGTAGCGTAAGCAGCCTGGTGAGCACAAAGCTTCTCAGTGACCACCTCCAAAAATCAGCGAGTGCGTGGTCATATGACCACAGTCAAAGGCTTTTCACATGGTCCCAGAATAGACGGCGCTGGGACGGGTCTTGTGCTTATCTATTTGAGAGTAAATGCCGCGGAGGCATATGTGTGTGCGCCCCTTGTGAAATGATCTCCCCTCACTACGTCCTAATCACTGAATAGACTTCTGTTGAGGCGGACGCTGCAGAGAAGAGAGCTGTGTGGTGAAGCGTGGAATAAAAAAAGCAGCTGACTGACACAGAGTGTCCACATTCCTTTCAGGACTGTCCTCTTCCCTGGTCTTGCTTTGACAAAGCCCGTCACTATGGTGTAAGTCACACGCCTGGGTCTTATCTGCGGATGGGGAGGCAGTGATCTCGCTCGCTATGCTAACAACAACAAACAGAGAGCGGTACATCAGCCTCCCATGACATCCGACTGTTATACGAAGAAATCCATTTAGTTCCAATACGAGACACACTCACCAGGACTCCGGTAGCCATTTTGAACCCAGTCGTGTGTAAAGACTTTGTCTGAGGCAGCGTATCATGCTCATGCTGTTTTTTTACGGATGGGTGGGAATGTCAATGGCAGTTGGTGCAGATATTATTTACATTTGGGAGATCTTTTTATTTAGTTTTTTTTACCGTTCATGAGGTTGTGTTTGTTGCCTAAACGTCGAACCCAGAACCTGATGGCTCACTCCAAATAAGGAAACTGTGTTCTGGCTGTAGAAAAGTTGGGTTGAGGACTCACTTGCAGGGGAAACTATGTTGTGTGTTTTAACTTTCATCTTCTCTGTACAGCGTAGGGCCTGACCGAGGCCGGGCAGGGCGCTGCAGCTCTGTAGTTATGTGAGTTCATCGTGGCAGCTGACTGCAGCGCGTTTGTGCCAGCAGACTGACTTGTGTCGAGGGGACGTTACGTAACTACAAAGCCTGCGAGATGGCTGTCTGTGAGTTTATCTACAGCCGCCACAGCTCCAGTGCGTCCCCGTCCATGTCAGCGTTCTCCAACATGGACCCGTGTCTGCCTTCTCTGCTCATCTCCAGACACCCCCTGCCTCCCTCGCTCCTCTCTTCAGGCGTTCACGCTCGTCTCCTCCTCTTCCCCGGACATTTCTTTGTCTCCTCCAGCAGCAGAGTGGCGGCTCCTGCCAAACTCTCTCTGCAGCTGGTCTGACACTGAGCTCATCTGTTCCTCTGATTCGGAGAGCTGCTTCTGTGTTACAAGTGTGTGTGTGTGTGTGTTTGCATGCAGCCGGTGTGGACACAGACATGCCTTTGGTTAACGCTTTAAAACCATTAATATCGACTTTTTTGCAAGAGGATGAACGAGCCTGTTCCCTAAAAGTATTGACTTACTCATTCAAACATCATTTGGGGTGAGTGGTGACAGTTTGAACTGGAGTAACCTGGGGGTGTCCTTACTTTATGCGTTGCAGTGTTTGAGTCTTGGAGGGAAGCCTCTCGTAACTTCTGCTCCTCCACGAGGATGTCCCGCAGGTGTTCGTTCACCTTGACGGAGGATAAAATAGGGGGGCAGAGAAAAAAGAGAGGAGTTGGATTTCACACCAGCGTTTGAGGCACAAAGAGGCTTAACAGAGTCTGTGTTGAACTCAGGAGAAACTTGAACCTTTTAGTGACTACTCCACTAGCATTACCTACTGATTTTAAATATGACTGTAACATAAAACAAAGCACTCAAACACGCCATCCATGCCATACTCAAGCTTTTCTATGGTATCTGCTTTTTGCATGGCTACAGACTTGTTGTTCATTGTAACTCTTAAGTCTTAGACTTTGGACCAGTGGTTGAAGATTGATTTGGTTATCTCTTCACAATTTATCTGACTTTATTGTACATGGTGTTCGCAGTTTTTTTTAAAACTAGAACTTCTAAAATGACCAAGGATGGGTCCAGTTATAAAGGACCTATAACCTCTTTTGGACCCATATCTTGGGCAGTTTTTTTGCATGAACACAAGAGTCCATTGCGCGTACCTTGTTGATCCAGGTGATGATTGCATCCTCTGTGTCGTATGGCAGCTCCTGGACTAGTCCGTCGCTATGCAGGGGCTCAGGGGATGAGTACTTGTTGATGCGGGACATCACCCTCTCCACGCTCACCATCTCCACCGTGTACGCCATCATCAGGGTGTCGATAAAGGCCAAATGGGAACCCTGCACAGATAGTAACAACCAGTTAGGATCGTAAATTTTCCCACCAAAGCAACCAACAATTGAGGCTCTCACGGAGGATTTCTGTGACTCTCCACGGTTCTGCACATCTCACAGACAATCGGCGGATCACATTTCCACGTCACCGTCAGCCACGAGAGATCCTCCAGACTTTATCTTTCTTTCTCATCAGCATTCCTCCCACCCGTTCCACTTTATGAGACTGGAGGCCACTTTATTCAGCTTAACATCAGCTCTCATGGAGCTAAATTTTGTTTACTATCGAGTCACTCCCTTTATACCTCACTTTATACAAGTGGCTTTAGGGTTACACAAAGCTTGACATTCTCCCGGCCTTTTGAATCCCATTCCAGGCCGGTCAGAACAACAGACCTCCCCTTCCCTTTCCTGTCACACCACGGCTCTACTATTAAACGTTTATTTGCGTATGTTTGTTGCTTTCTTAAGCATCCATCAGAGGGTCGGGCCTGACTGTACAAACATCTAGCGTCAAGTGCATCACGATCCAGGTGGCACAAACTAAAATCGTTCCACAGGACGAGCACAGGCATCTATTCATAACCACAGAGCTAACGGACCAAGTCTTTCCCCAAGAAACACATCGTCGGCTGGGTGAGCTGCCTCTGGTTCTCTGCACCATCACCTCATGCAATGCCAGTCTAAACAGAGTGCGCGGGATTGCTGGAAACACAGTTGGAAACGAGTGCTAAGGCCAATCCAAAGTGTTATTTCATATAACGCCAGCGGTGATGTGGAACACAGCAAGCTAACGCTGGAAGCAAAGAAGATTGAAACAGCTTTTCAAACAGCTGATCAACTATTAAAAAAGTTGTTGACTTGCAGATTTGAGCAGATTACCAACAAATGATTTAGCCACAAATAAATAAACATGCAAGTTATAACTCCTGAACAATTAAACAATATGGCTCGGTTCTGCACTTCAACATGAGGTACTGAACTCCTTATGAAACGTCTGCAGACGCTGCTTTAACTTCATGAAGTTTCCGGATATTGGCAGATATTTCACATTGCATGCGCCCCCCTACCCCCCGCAGGTCGTCTGTCTGACAACTGATGAGAGAAGGCGAGGACTGGCCAAGCAGCTTAGACTGAAGCTGGAGATCCAGAAGACATCATTTTCATTAAAATCCACTGAGCTTTTCCACTGATTGGTGATTTTATAACTTAATTTGTGTAAAGCTCCTAAATCTTTAATGTTGTTAAGCAGCTTTTGGGGGGGGGTGGGGGTGTGCATGTGAGAGCCTTTGCACACGTGTCTGTTCCGATCTCTGGGTAAAAAAATTTGGACAAATCTCTTGCCTTAATTGAAGTTTCTTTGGGATTTCTTATTAATCATAATGTGCATTTAAGCAAGAATGCAAAAACTGTCCTCTCTGTTTTTTGTAGGAAAATTGTAGCATTTTGTTTCAACTACAGTTGTGACAGTAATAGAATATGAAACGGTAATAGCAGACATCTGCTTTAACGGCTCTGTTGGGAAAAACGTGCTAATGTGCCAAATGTTGAACTGTAGAGGTGTGAATTTGCCCTGAGATGGCTTTAACACCCTGGGGCTCGTCCACCTCACCTGTCTATGGATACCGCATGAAGAGGAACTAAAGCAAAAGAGCAAAAATAAAAAAGCTTTAAAATCATCTCTGGGTGCAAAACATCAAAAGCTGTGCAGTGAATCTGATAATCTTTTAAGTTCACGGATTTGGCTCTAGATAATTTTTACTTGTCCTATAGGTACCTGATATTCTTATATAATGTTTTTTTAACCCAGCGATGGAGTACTCCTTGAATAAAACCCAGGTGTTTTGTTTTGAAGAAGCGAGACCTGAGTAATCCCCATATCAAATATTTTCTTAGAAATGATAGATATTGATCATAAAATAATATATATTTTTTCCTCTTAGAAGAAAAACTATTTATCATCGCTGGCCTGCACAAGACTTACAACTGAGACACTCACTAAGTGTCTGTACTGTTTGTAGAAACTCAAATAGGTGGGAGCCCAAAAGATGAAGAAGAAAAGGACAAAGAGGATGAGGAGCCGCAGCTTACTTACTCCTCTAACCTGCAGAAGAAAATACATCTCTGTTGACTTTACAGCATGACATTAAAAGCCATGTGCTGCCTATTATGCATCCACAAAGACCTTCGGGGTGTGTTCATAGAAGCGACTCCAAAGCACTCGCGGTGACAGACACGCCTTACAAGGCTGTGGAAATGGCAGCCGTCGGTCATAAAGAGAGGTACAAAGCTGTGGCCATCCCATGCACACCACCTAACGCATCAGTATTCAAGTATTCACTGCTATTGCGTGGCTGAGAGGGCGTGTGTGTGGTCTTGATGAGGGCATCTAAAAGACAGAACAGGGCAGCTGAGCAAACATAATCAAAGTAGCCACGTTCCCCGAAAATGCTGCAGGTTTGGACAGTCAAAATGACCTACACAAGAGTTTCTGTTGCACAGCTTCACAGCTACTGGTCAACGCATACACACACGGAATAACATTTCCCCAATTTTTCACTTTTATTCTCCCGACAGCTTTCAGATGATGTCATAAGCCCCTCTGCAGACATTTAATTACTACTCCAGTCACTCACCCTTTTGGGCATTTTCACAATAACCGGGCAGAGTGAGGCCATGAAGAAGTCAAAGGAAATGACTAGCTAGAGTTACAAAACCGTGTTTGGGTCATCTGCTCTCTGCAGTTGGTCCTCCAGCTCTGTAAAGTGCGTGTTTTTGAGGAGGTTGTAACGGAGGGCATCGTCTGTGCACCACACAGCGAGACCCCACCCTCCACACTGCCGCAGCAGTGCACATCACGTCTTCCCTCTCCCCTGCAACCTTTCCCTCTCGCCTGCGGGATCCGCACTTCTCCTTCTCCCTCTCCATCTCGTCTCCCTTTTTTCCTGCCGTCCCCTCTTCCCAGACGGCCTTACTAAAAGTAAGCATTTAGCAACCATTCTCCAGCACACACACAGACACATGTGTCCTCACTCCCTCCTCTCCTTTACATATTTCCTTCCAGCCTTTCCACAACTCCTTCCCATCTCCTCTCTTCCATCTGTCTTCTACTTTCTTCACCCTTTCCCCTCATCTATTGCTCCACTTTCCTGCTTCCGCCTGGTCTGCAGCCAAATGGCAGCTCCTTCACACCACCCCCGTTTTTTCCCCCCCTCCCGTTTATTTCGGCATTCATTCCCCCTCTTGACAGACTGCCACACTCCTCCTTTTTCCTCCTCCCTGCCATGAGTTATTCCTCTGGAGCACAGTACTCGGAAAAGCATGAGCTCATCATTTTCTCTGTAGATATAGCATAACCCGGGAAGAAAAGTCCCGACTTCGATGTGACTGAAAGGATTCTGCTGAGTCCACAAAGGCACAGTGCTGATCTACTTTGCAGAACCAACCTAATGAATTCACATGAGCTCAGAATGGCAATTAGGATGAACAGATTAAAACAAATGCTCTGACTTTGAATAACGCAAAAGAAGATCAATGTGTTTGAGAGCTAATGGGGGGGGGGAAACTTCATTTTCTACTTAAAACAGTCTCTAAAGATGTCGATTAGACCTGGACATGCACACGGAAACACAGCAAGACATGTGCAGACATACACTGGACCTCACATGCACTTTAAGTGTGAAAGGACAAATCACTGCCCATTACTCCCACCCCCAATCAATAAACTATGGACCCGGCGCATCGAGCCGAACGGCCATAAATATTATTGACTTGTGACTTTAAATCGTTCTTTACAGCTGAAAAATAAGGCGAGCAGGAGAGGCGTGCTCATAAAATCTAGCTACAATGCGAGGGGAGGGAACAAGGGGAAAAGCTGGCGGCGAGAAATACGTTTGAGGCGTTACCGGTGGTAGTTTAATCTAATCTATAAAGACGACCAGGGACGGGGAAACATGGCTATGGCCTAAGAAGGTCTGAATAAATAATGAAAACAAAAAAAAAGAGACAGAGAGATGGGATTGAGGGCAGTCAGGGGAGGGGGGGAGGGGGGGAAAGAGTGCACTGCAATGCAGACACCTTTTGGCGACGGCAGGAGCCATGCGTGTGCAGACGGGGGGTCTGCATCTTCAGCACTAAAACATCCCAAAGCATCACATTCTGCCCCCCTTTGTCATTTCTGTCGAGGAGACGAGAGCACTCCGGTCGGGAGCCATACTTAGTGGGAAATGCTCGACATTCAGAGCTGCCGGCTCGCTTCCGTGACTGCTGTTGCTTTTTTTTTTGTGCCAAGAGTGATAAATCTGCCCCCTTTTTTGCCTCTACACTTGAAGTGTTTGGTTTCTTTGTGGCCCCTCTGATGCACCGGTGACCTGGAAAGGCTTTACCCTCCCCTGTTACTCACCTATTGACAGCTGGGCTCAGCTTCAGACGCACTATGGCCCTTAATTGAATTAAGTGGGTGTAGGAAAGCATTTGTGGGGTGATTTTTTTACATTATCTACATTGATGCTGGCATTGAAGATGCTTAAGTGAGATTTTTCAAGAATGGTTATGAAAACAGAACACCGTCACAGAGCCTAGTTGTTCTCGTTATCATTTCCAACCTTTCGTGTTGTAGTTTCGACTATATTCATGGTACTGTATCTACCTCATCTCGTTGAGGTGTTTGCCCTGACCTGCCTGAGGACAGAGATCTAATAATGGGTAATGGGCTGCTATAGGAGACCTATCATTAGAGGTATTTTTTTTCTGTCAACATGACACATCTTGAAGCACTGCGTGAGTGCATTTGATTTGTGGCTGTCTCTGTTTGCATTAACGGGACTGTTCTACTTTGGTGGTTTGGAGTTTTTTTTGCTGAGGTCAGGGTTTTAAAACGATTCGAATCGACGATCGGCGCTTCTGTGTGTCAAATTAGACCGACCGAGATGTAAATCAAACCCTGTCATTTCATACCCCACATCTGCACGTTTGTCTCCAAGGGCAACCAGAATTCCGCGTGCCAGGCCGCGGAACACTCACCATGTGTATGGGCGTGCTGGTCAGATCTCTCTCTGTGACCAGTCTGTCCTGGTCGGTGACATACAGGCCTTTCTGGGCCAGGGCCTGAATGACAGCGTTGTGTCCCAGCAGCGGTTTGACGGCATCGCTGCGGAGGATCAGGCTGCCCGCCCGGCAGTAGAGCTCGGCCGACTGGAGCAGGCAGGCCACCGGAGGCTTCAGGTGCTCCTGGTTGTACTGGTCCCTGTAGAAGGGCTCAGCCAGCTCCTCTGGTATCTCATCTAAGGAAATAGAGGGAGACAGGAGATGAGTTTAAAATGCTTTTCTATATTTCTCTTTATGAATCAACCTCAGCTCACACCATCTACAAACTGGCAGCTAGAACATCTGGGCTCTTTGACAAAGCTTTTACAATACGATTATATTGGGGGAAAAAAACGTATAAATGCAAAAATCAATGCATAACTTTTCCCTTTTCTTTCCAGGTTCTGATCTCCTTTTTCAGAAGGTTGTACAACTGATAATGTTGAGACTTTGATAGCTCTGAACATCATCAAAGCAGTATATTCACATCAATGAGATTTTATTCTTTTAATTTATCTTCAAAACCATTACACTGTGATACCTCTAAATCCTGTGTGTGTGGGTGTGTGGGTGTGTGTGTGTGTGTGTGTGTGTGTGTGTGTGTGTGTGTGTGTGTGTGTATTGCAGTCCTCGTGTGGTTGTGGAGGTGTACGTTACAAAGCGTGGAGAGCCTTCTAATCCTGTTACCTCACCCAGACAATCTGATTTGAAGAAAATAGCTGAACCTAAACACACACTTAACACAAACACATGGGTTTCCATGACGTCAGAGGACATTTCTGACTATTTAAACTTATTTCCACAGACTTTAACTGGTACTTAGCAAGCCTTAACCCTTAACTTGAATTGGTTCACAGCGTTAACCGAGTAAAATCACTGACTCCCACAGTGACTCTTCTTTAGATCTTTATTTCTGTCTTCGTGACACTGTGTTGTTATTGACTGCATATTCTGACTCACAGCTCGACCAGATGACAAACTGAATGTAAGCACTTTCAGCTGGACTATGTGTGTGTGTGTGTGTGTGTGTGTGGTGACACTCTTGTGCTCCTGTATGAGCATGTATTCCTGGTGTGTGTGGTCATTTCCTCTCTGGCTGCCTCTGAATCACTCCGAGGAAAACAAAGGACACTAAAGGAATCCAACTTAAAGGAGCAGTTTTAATCCTAAACATGAACAGAGCTGCGGCACAAAGCTCAACCCAACTGGCCCATGAATCAAAAGTGTAATGCTCAGTTGGGAAGAGCTTGTGATCAAGAGCTTTGGCAGTTTTTCCAGCGGCTGCGGGAAAAGCGGCTTCGCCATGCATCCGCGCCGAGTGATGAAGATTTATATTTAAAGCATGAGGCAGATGCTAAACCACTTCACAACAAGCCCTCCTGCATCACGTCACTCAGCGGAAACTGAGCCAGAGTCAAAAAGCTACACTTCCAGTTTGTAAACCTATTGGCAAAAGTAACTCAAGAGTGAATCATTACAATAAGTTTGACTGAACTGTGAGGTTTTTAAAAAAACAAAGCACACTGAGGAAAGACCTCGAAAAAGTTTATGTCAAAGTTGCAGACCTTCCTTTCTTGGAAACTTCAACTTTTTTATGGGATGGCGATTACACAGGAGTTTTTACAGCTCGAACAAAGCTGTGGAGTTCATGAAAATCTGCCTCGTCAAATAAAAAGCCTCCCCTTTGTGTTGGCCATCAAAGAGGAAACAGACAGGAAGTAGCTGCCACAGGAAGTCCAGGCATGGAGAAGACTGCTCCCCTGAAGACCCCTGGGAACTGTGTCCAGCATACACAAGCTAATGCTCGGCAGTGTTTATCTCTAAGAACTTACTGCGCTTTTTAAAAAAACACATACAGTGACATAACGACACATTAACATCTCTACACTTCCCCCATCATGAAATCACCGTCAGATTACAGGTCATTAATGGATAAATCACATAACCTGCCATTACAATTTGTTTCGGTTATGTGGGTGAATCGGAAACAAGCTGTGAACACAACACTGACACACTGTAAGAAAAATAAAAGGTCCCAAATTACAAATCTAGCACACACGGAGAACCTCTCACATTTCAGTATTTTCTTATCTTTTGAGCTTTAAACTGTGGTCTTACCAGCATTTTATAAACAAACAAACCCCATGATACTTTGTCTAAATATTTTCTCATTTTGAATATGACCTGCTATTTAAAAAAAGAGTGAAAAGAAAAACAAACTCATCTGACAGATTATTAGCTACGCACAGCTACCCTCCATGGAAAAGAACTGGGGAGGAGCAGAGGCCTGGAGAAAAACACTGAACAGACCACTGCACGAAGCATCTGCCCATCAAAGGAGAAGGAACCTTAACCAATCAGATGAGCCAAATCAGGCCACATGAGACCAGTCACAGAACAGGGGCCACCAAAGTTGACTGTTGACACACTGCTTGAACTTGCTGGCACAGAGAGATAGCTTTCCGCCTGGCAGCAGAGGTTTTTTCTCAAGTGGTTGCGACCTCACGGTCTCAGGAGAATTCAGCCGCTTCACAAGGTGAGCTGTGGGCTAAAGACGGAAAGAGCCATCTGGCTTCTCATCCACACGTGCCAGCAAAGACAAAGACAGAGGTAAGAAGAGCCATCCCTGGACATGGCAGTGAAAGCACCATTTGTACAAAAATCCCAACAGAGAGACGTTTCACTTAAAAAAAAATGTTTTCATCTCACAGCACATAGTAGAAATGCTTTGCTGGAAAAATGGAAAATATCTCAGCTCAACAAAACAAATACTGCTACATTTGCAAGCTGATTTAATTACTGAACATAAACTAAACTACTGATATAATGCAACAAAGAGAAAAAAACAACTTTTTTAAATTAATCAATGGTTGTTTTAAAGCAACACAGAGAGTTAGGCTTCTGTTTTGAATGTGGAAGGCCGTGTCTCTGAACTCTCACAGGCACAGACTTTGAGCCAATGGGGAAAAAACTGTTGCATCTGAGCATCATCAGATTCAGACCGCAGCTCATGGTTCAATCTAGGCCAAACAAGGCTGGGAGGACTGCTTATGAATTGGGCCACAGTTCTCGGCGGTGCTAGGAGCCGAAACTGTGTCACCGGCGGGCTGGAACAAAAACAAGGCCGCCGACAGCAACGGGCGACTTGTTGCCACGCCGACAGCAACGGGCAACTTGTTGCCATGCGGCATCTCTCCGCTCGCCGCAACCGGACATAAGCCCAACCTGCCTCATCCCGTCTGATCATTTGGTCCTTTGGCCCGTCGTCCCTTTATCTTTTTAGGTTTATCCGTCCTGTTTGGCATCGCACTGAGATTTGGAAGGGCTGAGCATGAGGGAGCAGCTGCTCACAACCTTCATTAGGAGCTGGAGAAACCTCTGGAGACACAAAGCTGGGACGACTTAGTGTTTTATGAGGCCAGGCTGCCCTCGGAGCACACAGAGGACAGAGACAAGCCAACAAATATTCATATCAGCACATGATCAATACAATTACTTTCAAGGAAAAACTTTCAAGGAGTGTCGTCACTGCCTGGAATTATTCCCTGTTTGTTTTCTTTTTAAACTAATTCTACTGAATGAGAAATCTAACCAGAATATTCAACAGTTAACCATTTAAGGTATAAAAGCTGACTTAAGACTGAAGTGTAAACACACTGGATATCTTTAGAGTTTATTGGGCACTCAAGAAAATGTAGTTTTTATGTTTAAAGCTGTTAAAACTTGTGAGAAAGCATCTGAACAAGTTGTCACTTTTCTTTTTTTCATTAAAAAAAAAGTACCTCTGAGATGCTTCATCCACTCACATCAAACTTATGTGTTTGATGCTGATGGGTTTTTTTTTAAATCTTAGTGATTTTTTACACAGCTTTTATACATGTTGTGTTTTAGCAATAAGCTTCCACTTGAGCAGAAGTAAAAGACACATTTTTAATGGAACATTTTCCAGAGAACAAACCACTGCCAGGTTTGGGTCAGGGACAGGAGTCCAGGCCTTGCTTCTGTCCATCGGCCCTCATAAAGTTAGCATCTGCAGTCTGTTGCATAACGTCTGACCTGACTTCTGCTGTGGGGAACAATTAGCAGCAGGTAAATCTGAGCTTAAACCCATAACAATGCCACAGGATGTAGTGAACATGACTTAAGACCTGCACACTATCCCATAAAAAAAAAACAAGCCAGAAGACCATAACAACAGTCAGGGAGGCAGCAATGTGGGCCCACTTCTGGCTGTTGGGGTTTCACTGGGACAACAATGGGGTCATTTCCATTTGTGTGACAGCCATAATTCTGTTTCTCTATCACAACGAGAGCCTGATTACAAGACGCTGTTCACAAAACGGCCCCTCTTTAAATCCAGCTGATCCAACAACAGCAGGCCACATTAGAACGCATGCTCCATAATTGCCTGAACAACGTTTTCCACTCATCTCATCCAACCCCCCCCCCAAAAAAAAGAAAAAGAAAAAAGAAAACGTTCAGGAGGCGCCACCTACCAGAGCCGAAAGCTTTGGCCACCAGCCACGTCAGGCTGCAGGATATCTTGGCCCTGGTGAAGTCGTAGTGGTCGAAGCTCCTGATGGCGGGGACGATGAAGGTGCGTCTCATCCCTCTGTCGTCTGCCGCATCTCCCATCGTCTCTCTGCGTCTGGTCCAGCCGCTTTTTCTGCCGCTTCTGGAGGCTCCCTCAGCCGGAGGAGCTCCTCCTGAACGCCTCTGACATCCCGTCTGGAGGAATTCAATGCAGCAAAAAAAAAAAAAAAAAAATTCCTCCCTTCTGCTGGAAATTGATGGTGGAGGGAATAAAAAAAACTTTGAGCTCGGCTGATGTTGGAGTGTGGTGGCAGAGGACAACCCCCCCACCCTCTCCTGCCAACTCCCCCCTCTTGATTACATGAGCACCATCCTCAGTTTTGATGCCTCAAACCCCTGACAGCACGGCGCAGGATTTCGGAAGGTTTTCCCCCATTCCTTGAAATCATTCCCCTCAGGATGCGCCACACATAACGGAAGCGGCTCTCTCGGTTTGGGGGGGGGGAGCTACAGGCCCCAGGCGGAAGAAATTCCTACAGACGAGCCACGGCAGCCGTTAGTATCCATGTTCTCCTTTTTCCCCCGTTTTCTAAAGTGTCTTCTCATCCGCGGCGTCTCCTCTGCGCTCTTCCTGCCGCACTGGTCGGGAATGGCGCGCAGTGCGCATGCGCGCTCCACCCACCCACTCCGCTCCGCTCACTCCCCCACGGGGAGTCACCAAAAAAGTAACCCAAGCTGAGGTGGAGCTAACTCTCAGGATGGCCTCTGACTCACTCCCAGATGTTGTTTCCATGGAGAAATACATGTAATTTTTTTTTGGATTATTTTTTCTTTTGCACTGTTATGACAAGTCTTACTAAGATTGGAAGACGAATGTTTTCTGCAGGATTCACTGAAGTTTGATGCCAATTCAAACAACTTAAGGGGTTTACAGGACAAACAACACCATGGCAAAATGTGATATTAACTTTCAATATGCCATCTATGAATTGGTAGCCGCTTAACGGATTCAAACCGCAATTTTAAAAATCTTCCAAAAACTTTTAGAGTATTTAGTTGGCCCTGAAGGCTCTACTTTGTACTTAGTTGTAGGTTCATTTATTCTTTAATAGATTTTGTAGGTGTTCTGAATTGCTGTAAATGCTTGCAAATTCCGTAGGTAACTTTAAAAGTAATATATGTGTAGTCTGCTTTGCTGGAGGACTCCATGTCTCCTTCTGTCTGAAACTTTTCAAATCAGCTTCTGTTTCTTTAAGGCCTGCCTCCCAAAAGTCAGCTCTGCTCGGATTGGCCAGTTTACCGTCCAAAATGGGGGAGATGGTACAGGGCAGGCACATCCATGGGCCCAACACCATCAACTCACTACCATGGTTGCTTACACTGACCAAAATGTAGGTTGGGCATCTTCTGATTGGGGGTGGTATATTCCTTCTGAGCATCTCCCCCCTCCAAAACATAAATGATGAGGAATGATCCTTCCACACTGTACTTTTTTGGATATTTGGAGTTGTTTGGACATATTGTTGGGAAGTAGTTTTGGTTGGTACGGTTTTCTGGGATGGAAAATTGATGGAATGTAGATTATTTAATTCCATATTCATATTTTTTTATATGTGTTTTCATGCATAGCTTTGATAATGCAAGCCTTACGAACAAACTACCAGAGCTGTGTTTTTCACCTCATTAAAGATAAATCGCAACTGACATGAACAACAGATCTCTAAATGCACCCATTATATTCACACGACTGATGAAACACAACAGGCCTTAATGTGGTATCACACTAAATGATGGCAAATGTCACAGCAGCATTTTATGAAGCAGCACTTTATCTGTCAACAGGTAAGAGCAGAAGCAAAAACAGGATCATTCTGACAGTCTGTTTACCTCCAGAGGGTTATTATCATTTTCCTTTCATCAAAGACAGAAGTAATTTTTCTCCATTCACTAATGCACGACAACATAAAAAGGAGTAACATGATGTCATCAAGTTCAAGAGTAGAAACAGGATAGGATTATGCAGGTATCAGTGTATTCTGTGGGAGAGAATCACTGGCTCTGATCATGCCTGGGGCTTAGTTGTTATGAAGACCTTTGACATGGCCAAAACACACACATACATGTCAATTGAATGATATTTTACGCTTACATAATTGTGATTATAGATCGGTAAAATATATATTTTGATACCAATCATCAGCAAACTTTCTAGTGTAGTTTATTGCTACTTATTCGTTAAAAATGAAACTATGAATATATTGTATGAGCTCTTCTGCTGGGTGTAAATCTTGGTTAGGATTCTACGAACAGTCTCATGGCAGTTTATCTCACTCCTCTTTGCAGGTTTAAGTCTTTTTGCTCGGGTTTGTGTCCGAATTTTGTTAAACATCTGTGGCTCGGGTTTCATGTTGGACCTCGGAACAGGTTTTAATCTCAAAGACCCAGCTGCAGTGCATCCTTTCCATTGTGTATATGCCTCCCTCCTATCTTTTCTGCTAAGTCAGAGTGAAACCATGATGCTACCCTAGTGTGACGGAGGTTCACCGGTCTTTGTGCTTGTAGGTTTTCCTTAAAAGTTGTGGTTATGACTCACTGGATCCCGCTTTCAACTTTCTGGTCACTAACATTTTTGGCTCTGTTAAAGAGAAGCAGGATTGAAAAGTAAACTTTATTTGCTGTTCAGTTCACGTGAATCACCAACTGCTGCTGTACTCCTGGGAATCATAAAGGACTTGTCAATAGTTTTATGAACTGTTCTCAAACACTATTTTATTGTGGAGCTCTGCGGAGAGCTCCTTGAGTTTCATTTTTTTTTGTTTAATCTTTTGTCTTCTGTCATAGCATTGTAGGATAATTCTCTACATAAACACAAAAAGTATTTTAAAATCAGAAGCTATTTTCAGGGAAACGGTAGAAACAAGTTCCCAAAGACCAGAGACACTGAAGTAGCTCGTCCAGGATGGTCATTTGGCTACTCAACCGTATTCTCAGCCTACGACTACAAATATTGTCCTTCGGGGGGAGGAAAAACTTGAATGAATGACAAAACCCCAAATAAATCTTATGAAAATCCTGAAGAAACAGGAAAAAACTGATCACACAAATATATGTTTCACAACTACTTTAATGTCACACAGCTATTGAAACTTCCCAAGCCCCGTTGCAGTTTAACCACTGTTTATGAATACGAGAAAGAGTAGGAGGGGGGGAAAAACATTCTTCTTCACACAGAGTCAGTATTTGATGAAGGTAAGGCCTCAGATGCTCCTGTGAGGGACGTGGTGGGAGCGCACCCTAGAGGGCAGAGGGGGCTCCTGCAGCTCCAGTAGTCAGACGTTGGGTATTCATCAGTAGGTGGCAGTCTTTTGCTAAATATAAGATGAAGCGTTTGGCTTCTCTTAACGTTTGAATGGAACACACCAGCGTTTCTACTGAATGCAACACTAATGGGTTTCATTATGTAGCTTAACAGTTTAACCGTTTTTTTTAAGGCTCTAGTTAGTGTTCAGAAAAGTATTTGCGCTGTATTCTACACATCTATCCTGACTTTTTTTTTTTAAGCTTACTGCTCCTCCTCAGCACAGCCTGAGCCATCTTTGGATGCACCTCCACCAAGATCCACCGTCATTTTAGAGTCATTGCCGATCATGATGTATTTGGCATTTTCGATATGAATGTTGTGTTGTGGCGGCCACCACCCCCTGTCACCAGCGTCCTGTCCCAAAGAGCTGCCTGAGCTAAGGAGGAGGTTTTGCTCCGCGCAGAAGCCCAACTTGGCCTTTTCCCGCATTTTTTTCCTCAAAGCCTGCTCCTGAGTCCATATTCTTCTCTGTCTCTCGATCTTGGCGGGCGACAGCGACTTCTGAAGCTTCCTCTCAAAGCTCCTTTTCTCCTCCAGCGGCACTAAGGTCTGCAGCACCAGGGGGACCCTCTGCGGGGGCATGCAGTTCTCCCGGGGCAGCAGGGGGATGACCGTGTTGAACTTGTGCCGGTTGTTTATGGAGTTGATAAGAGCGATGTTGGTCTTCATCTCCAGCATTTTTGTGTTGAAGTTGCGGGTGAGCAGAAGGAACGTAAAGGCCGAGTTGTTGATGGCGTCCTCCACGCACCTCAGAGTGCTTTTCCCAAACAGGGCAAAGTCCTCTGAGAAGGTGGCCCCTTCACAGCAGATGACGCTTTCCAGTTTTTCCCTCATGCTCTCGGCCACCTCGGCGTCCTCCGGGGCGTGCAAAATGACGAATGCATAAAATCTTTCGTCTTCCTCCTCTTCGTCGACCTGACTTTCACGCATTCCTTCGGAAACGGGCATCTTGGGTAACAAAATGGATGCGGCAGACGGCCGAGCCGAGCGCGGCTCAATGCTGGGATTGTTTAGCTCGGCCGGGATTTGGTCAAGGGTGAAGCAGCTTTTCAGCCTGCTGGTCGTCGATTCCAATGTTTCTTCTGCTCCTGAGCCTGTCTCTGGTCCAGACCGAGGAGATCCAGTGGAGCAGAGCTGCAGCTCGGGCTGCTGAGGTTGCCAGGAGGCTTGTTCAGCCTGACCTGGAGTCGGGATAGAGTGATCTGGTTTGGGGTTTTGTAAGGTTTCTGGAGAAGCCTCGTCCCTACGGAAGGAAACCGTAGGAGGAACACTTATCTCTAGGTGACTGGGATATGAGGGCTCTGAGGTGCTCTCCTGCAGAGGGCAGGGACTATTCGATAATCTATCCTGAGTGGCTGAGACTCTTAAGGTTCCGTCTCCATCCTCCAGACTTCTGTTTGGATCAGGAGAAGATTCCAGTTTGAAGTCGGAGTTGGAGAACAACCACTCGGCAGGTCCACATGCCACTTTAGCTTCCTCTCTGAACTGGTGATACTCCAGATTATCAGTGTTGTCTGTCTTTAAACCGTCACAGGAAAGGGCCCTCTTGTAAGCCAGATTCCTCAGGAGCGGATCACACAGCCTCTTCTCATACAGAACTTTGAAAATCCGAGCCAGCACCGACAACGATTCCCCCGACTGCGCTCGGAAGTCACCGCAATCGACTCCGAAACCTTCTAATTTACCTCCACTGGCACGCCACTTTTCGGCCAGATGTTTCGCGAGGGAGTTGTCCCCCAACATCTGGAGCTTGTTCAGGGCATGCGCCCCTCTCCGGAGAATGAAGAGGCACAAGGCCTGTACGATGCAGTCCTCAGGCGTGTCACCCAGCTGGAGCGACAGGCTCAGCAGACGCTCCGAAGGCACTTTTTCAAGAACGTCAAAGACATCTCTCAGACCCGTCCCCCGATTATCTGATTCATCGTGAATCATCTTCAGTTACTTATCAACAAAAAACTATCCGTGATTTGAACAAAGTTTATGGCACCACATGTTTTTCCCTACATAATCTCTCTCGGTGCCTCCAGAAAGGTGGTTGTTGGGGAGCGATGGACAGTTTGGTGGGCACTCTCGTTCCTTCGAATAGATACAGAAAACACAAAGGTCAGGAATACGAGAGTACACGGTCACAGAACAATGTGTGTGTTTCACTTCGAAAGCACGCTCCAAATACAGCAACGTGTCACTACATGATTAAACGAAAGGAAATTATCTCAACGCCGTTCTGGGATGACAAATCTTTTGCTAATTTTCTGATCGAGATCGAGCGATGGCTGATTCTTACTCACCGGCAAAGTGTGGCAAGAGCCATGAAGACTGGTTCAGTGTGTAAGCTCAGAGCTCAAAGTAGGAAGTGCTCCCTCCAGGTCAGGTCAGCTCGGGGAAACCCTTTTTTCGTTCAACAGGAAGCTCTCAGTACCGCTCTGAATTCCACCTGGTTGTCCATGACGGGGCATCTCAAAGAGTTTGGGGTTTTTAGTCTCTCAGAAGTCGTACCTGTGTTAGTTGGAGGCCCAGCCAGCCTGAGGCAGTTGTGCACGACACAATGATGATGTCACAGGCTGTGAAGTATGGGAGCTCAGGAGGGATAAAAGTAGAAACAGGAAGAAGATTGTCCTCCAGTTTTTGACTTTTTTTTTCCTGCGCTTTTTACGGCACATTGCCACTTCTGAGAGGTTGTTTTCATGGTGCTGATGTTTTACTACCATGTTATAAACACTGTACTGTTCTTATAAGTCTTATTCTGTACATGAAAAAAATGTGTCTCATTTCAAATCAGCTCAGAACTGTATTTTCTTGTTCAGAGCTTTGCAGAATTTTTGCCTTTTCGAGCACAATGAGTGCACACGATTCACTTTTTTTTTCTTCCTCTCTGCTAAGAGGCCAGAGTATTTTTATCCTGGAGGAAACCTCCAACCCTGTATTTACCAGGGGTGGGGTCAGACCAGGCAGAGTCCAAGCCAACATCAAGTCCCTCAATGTAGTGCAAACACAGGGCCTCTGTGCTCTGAATGCAGCGCGATACGTTCACTATAGGACCACTTCTGAAGGATTACTGTAACTCCATAGGAAGTGTGGTTTTCATACCTTAAGTATGACTATAATGAGAGCTGTATGTATGTTTCTTTACAGGATAAAATTTCACCATTCAGCTGAGCTATATGTTGTTACAGAGGCTGCCAAAACCACAGCTTGGTTGTTTTAATGAGAAGTCTATCTATTGCTGACAGCAGTCCAAGCCAGCAAATAGTGTTGGCAAATTATCCGAAGAAGGCAGCTTAACACGCTCAAATATTTTGCATTTGTATTCACTCCTGTGTTTTTTACATAAGATTCATCTGTTCAGGATGGCTCGTGAGCATTGGTTAATTGTCAACATATGGGTTTTACAGCAGTTTACTAAAACTGTAAAACGGAAGAAATACATACATATTTCAGGATCTTCAGAGGTTTAAGTCGTCGTGTCAAACCTGAAACTGGAAGCCTTAGTTTTTCATTTTGATTAACTCTTTTAACAAAAAAAATATATATATATTTATATATATTTATGTGTGTTTATACCATATATATATATCAATTTTCCATCCATCCAGTTTTTTAACCGCTTATTCCCTAATGAGGTCGAGGGGGGACTGGAGCCTTTCCCAGTAGTCCTTGGGTGAGAGGGGGTACATCCTGGACAGTCCGCCAGTCCATCGCAGATCCACACATATAAAGACACAAAGACGAATAACCACGCACACTCACACTTACTCCTAAGGGCAATTTGGTATGTCCAATCACCCTAACATGCGAGTTTTTGGACGGTGGGAGGAAGCCGGAGAACCCGGAGAGACATTACATGTTTCGTTGAATAACTTAAACCCTAAAAATAACATAAGCACAAACCAACCAAGCATTCTCATATGAGCTGACTTAATTCAGTCCGTTCAGATTTTCATTATGAAGCTGTTTCATTTGTCCAGCTCAGCCTATTCCCCCCCTGGTTAGCCTGCAAGCCCCACCCTCATCTTTTAGTCCGCAATCAACCTGTGTAATGGTTAGAGCTGTCGTTTTCATGGCAGGAATATTTATGTTCAAAATCTCAACTGCAGGCTTTCTTTGTGACATTTGGATGCTCTTTCTGCCCAGTCCTCTGGTAACCCTCGTTGAAAAATACGATATGATATTGCCCCTCGGTAACACCACACTGTTGTTACGTACAACGAAGCATTTTCAGAGATGTGTGGTTCTGACCCTAAATCTAACCGATGATAGCAGAAGTGGAAGGAGTTCAAGGAATTTTAAGACTGTTCTGCTTGTTAGAAACATATATAACTTCAAAACCAAGAAAAAAAAGAAAATGTAATGTTTTTTTTCCTTTCACGGTAATAACTTCCAGCACGGTCAGCACATACGGATATAAAAGATCTTTGAGGTGATTTCCAGCTCTAAACTCTCATTTCCAGGCAAAATAAAATGTTTGTTTCAGTTGATGTGGTTGTCATGTTTTTTGTTTTTTTTACGGCGTACACTGCTCATCCCAATCGTAACTGTCATGAGGGCTGGGGGTCTGGGCCCAGCCTATAGCAAGGACCCGATGGCGTCCCTTCTGAAGCAGATTGTTCTGCACTTTGTTTATCTTAGCAGCATCAGGCCTTCAGCACATTTACATAACATTTAAAAAAATTCAGATCATGAAGTGCCTTTGAAACCCATGTGAGGATGTTTGGCTGACTGAAAGCATATGTAGTCTCAAAGCTAAAACTGTAAGGCCATAGTTAGTTTGGGGATTTGATGTGTTTTGATTCCTTCATGTTTGTACTAAACAAAGCTCAAACTGGCTTTGCCCACTCTGCAGATTCCCTGAATTTCATAGTTCAGTTCCATTGGTGCAACAACACTGAACACTGACGATCTCGAGTGTGCACATTTGCTGCGGTGTACATAAACAAAAAGCACGACATTGGAATTGGTATCGGATTCATAAGAGTTTGTTACTGTTATTTTTGATCTGTTGGGTGGAGACATGTCACACATTTACAAAGTCAAGAGAAGAAAGTACTACTGAAGCTGGACTCCCCCCCACAAACTTTCACACGGTTCCTAAATAGGCTTTGTCTGAACACACTGTCTTATGGTCTCACACCAGATTTGCCCTTGTATGCATCCTTCACTCAGCTTTTGCCCCGAACTGTCATTCACTAACACGCACACACATTTACACACACAAAAACAAAAATCCAACACCCACACCGCCTCAAGATGATCCACAGTCAGTTATGTAACATGCTGCCAAACGTCTTTCCCTATTGAGGACAATTCCTCTAACGAGAGACACACTCCCCCAGCAGCTGTGTTAGTCAGCCTGGCCCTAAATTTGCTTCCACCTTCAGGCAAAACTTAAAGTAAGAGGCTGTGTCAGTTCTGCACACCCTGGCATTATGCAGCCTCTGTAACACGCAAACGAATTCTGACCTATGCCTGTTTTGGGGTGAAATACATGTTGTTTGATGAACACAAGCAGCTCCTCTTTTACGTGTTCGAGACTAGAACCAAAAAACGCATAGTTTTGCATTATCTGTCTCTTGGTGTCTAAGGGTTCTGCTCGTGGGAGAGAACTCCAAGGGGTGACACAGAGAGGTCACATTTAAGAGGCTTTAGGGCAGACAAATGAAAGGGAGGCCCTTTCTTGGACAGAGACGAAGGATTAGGATGAAAGATGTATGAGTGGGGGATGCTACCTCTTGGGTCACCCACTTGCTGCATCTCTTGCACACATCCTGCATTGAGTCTATTCAAAATGAGCAAGCGATAGAAGAAAGGGGGCTTGGACGCATGCAACAAACACATGAAATGATGAGATGTGGCGGCAGATGAAGAAAAAAACAAAGTGACCGATGGACATATTCTGTTGAATTTGTTACCAGAGAGGCCATATAAGACACTGCTCATTTTCTATGGGATTCGTCACACATACAAAGACAATTTAACACAGTCGCTCTTGCAGGCAAAAATGTTCCCCACCCACCGAAGGCATGAACATACACAATAGCCAGCGCTCCTTCAATTAAGCATCAATGCCCGCAGTTTGGCCTGTGGTTCAATACAAAACCTGGGCCACAGCTTTTCTGCGCTCCGAAGAAAAGTTTTTGCACCCTCTTCAGTTTTCGCCGAGAAAGCACAAAACAGCACGTGGATATTTAAAAGCTTACGCAACGGGGCGCTTTGTTCGTATAAGGCCGAGGTCATGTGTAGATGCAGCTTAGGTAGCCTCGGTACATCCATGCGTGTGATGTGCATCACAGCAAAAATAACCCGAAATATCACATACTGAGGGTAGATTATGTTGTTGACATTGCAACCTAACAGATCTGAGTTAATGTGACAGTTAACTAGCATTAATTCAGGAGCAAAAGTAAATGAAGCGGGCCCGCGGACATGACATGGGAGTGCAGTGGGGATGGGAAGACGTGTGTACTGTACCACACTGCACCATGCTTGGGTGAGCATGTAGGCCATGCTAACAACAATGCATAATACAGCCTCTGGTGATGGGGGGATGGATATACACACACACAACGCTCCCACCTCACTTGCACAAACACAAACAGGCGCACACACGCGGAGATGCTAACAGAGACACACAAACTCTTACGCATGCACAGACATTGACGACGATGGGGCATGGAGCAGTTTATGCTCATATCAGGGGAAAGGCTTTGATCAGTGTGACAGGAAGGGCACTCGCCCCAAAGGAATTAGCTAACTCTTGCCTAGCAAAAGCACATCCACGATAAATCAGGCATACTTTCATTTGCAACACAAGAGAGAGGACGTTTGATATTTTTTTGCATCGTTAATATGCTAAATGTATGAATATAATTTTTCCACTTCAATGTCCATTTCAGAACTGGATGTCCAGCTTGGCAAGATTAGGCTAAAGAGGAGGA